TCCCCTGATAGGGGTTTTGTGGGTGTGCCATGATGAAGAACTATATGCTTATTTGATACAATTGTCTAATTCTTCCTGATTTTTACTGGTAATGATCTCAATTACCCAGTCAGTCATACGCGACGTAGAATCTGGTGCATAAGTCTATCGGTTCAAATTATCATTCCACGTCAGTATGGATAAAGGATAACATCAAGACAAATCCCAAAATGGTAGAAGTAGTAGCAGTATGACTATTAATAATAAAGGTTAGGTATTGAGGAAAAAACCTATGAAGTGATTTCGAGACTTAGGTTCTACGGGAGGATAAAGAGTGAATGCACCTGGTCCATGGCGAACTTTTCTGAGGCATACCACCCAAAGTCCCTAACCATTGGTTACGATAATCACACAGACCTCAAACAAGTTGTCTTAACCTATAAACATGGCTTAGTTCTATTGACAATTACCTTACGGACTGTTGCCATATTTTGGTTTCGAAATCTTTATTCTTCTTCCAACCTATTCGTACATCAGACAACATCGCCCATCGATATAGGTGGTGGTTGGACATACGTAAGATATTTCTCTGCCACCTGAGATGATAAAGAGTCACTACCTCATCAGTCGATTTGGCATATTTACCTGGTACTTTATTCTTAACCGGGGCATTGCTTACTGCGTGGTCCGAAATTATCTGAGCAATAATTCGAAGACACCTGTTGTCAAATGCACCAGTAACCTACAAATATCCTCTACTCTTAATCGCCATGTTCCACATCCATAAAGTAGACTGAAGTGAACTGCTGTACAGTAAACTCGCCCTTTGTTTTGAACATGGATATATCGCCTACGCCACAAGTGACTCAAGTTGGCATAAGCCAATCGAGCTTTCTGAATCCGTGCCGAAATTTTGTCAAACACAAACAACGGTTGTCTGTTTAAATCATTCCGTGATGTAAACAATGAAAAGTTGACTAGTGGAATACAACTAATCCAAATGTATATTCTTTGTTTTATGAAAAACGTATACACTAGGTTTCTCCCTTTTTTTACTGCTTAATTCTCCCATTGTATTAACGTTTTTTCTGTGATATTTAAACTATTACTACTACTATCCACCACCGCCTTTTGCTGTTATCCGAAATAATTTTGCTTATATGAATGTCACTATGGCTATTAGTCATTACAAAACGAGACGAAACAAAACAAAAAAAAGTGGAGAATACACAATCCCTTATAGAATACAAAAATTCTATGTATTTTTTTCATATCTCAAATGGGTGTCTTTTTTTATAGCTTCCGTTGTCTCAACCTTCTGTTCCCTTATAATAGATAGGATTATCATTATTTTGCCCATTTGTGTTTATGACTCAGATAGTCTGGGGATTAATAGTTATCTCGATGTGTACTTGTCATGTAGACGATATATATTTATATGCATTATCAGCTGATTAAACATACTTGTTGTGACAAGGCATTTACGATGATTAATATTAGTCGACTTGATAGAGTAGATTCGTTCCTATTTTTAAAACTGTATATATGTTTAAATTGATGTATGTGCATGTGTGTTAATATGGTTATTAGGATGAAAAGTCCGAAGTATGGAGTATAAAGTACGTATTACTATGGTCTTGTTGTATTGTCTACTTTAATTTGTTGTCATTCGTTATTATCACCAGTATTAATAATAATAATAATAATCTATCAGCACGAATGTATAAAAATGAATTGTTTTTGATGAAATTATTTTATGAGAAACTATCCTATTTGAGCTGTACTGATGATCTCTTCATAAAAGGGAATGTTCTGTAATTACTAACTAATGAAATAAATTTCAGATGCAATCACTAATATATATATATATATATATATATATATATATATATATATATATAATGTGGTGTAACCCTCTTATGTTGACAGATATAAGTAGTGTATAGCAGGAATTGGAAATGAAATGCTTACCACGTGCATACAGACACTGCCAGGAAAGTCCTACTCACTGCCTTCTCGTGTGTGTTAGTTGCGAAATTGAGAGAACGAAAAGCGAATATCCGGCGCTTCAACCATGTTAGTGGATATGGAGGATCCGCCTACGGGAGTTGGGAAACCCTCATTCCAAATCAATGGTGTACATGGGCTCCAGGATCCTGAACGAATAAATAGCGTATGAACCAATTATTGGTCACCGACTACCATGGGACTGTATCTCCTGATGTTGCTCCACTGTCTTGTGGATTAGACCTTTAGGTCGTAGGCTCTGGGTGTGGTCCTTGAAAAAACCACCTGCTTCGATCTGAGCGCTCCGGCAGTATCATAGCCCACACACAAATCAAATGACTTGTGTGGCCCATATGTATTTTGGTGACGCTTTGTACCAATATATATATTCAAATAAATAAATAAGTTTATTCCCACCAAGTCTTCATTCAGTACATTCATATAAAGCTTGGGATAACTGGATTTTCCCATGATATTAAGTAATTTTCTACGATGCTTATATAACTATAACTTACATATATTAGATACAAATTAATTTACCGAATGTGGAAATGAAAATAGTTTTTTGTTATTTCTCCCAGCTTATATCATCAACCAACTAGAATACTGACTGTACAAACTGTATTTGATAATCATACTGGAAAAAAATTTTGTCGGAAGAAAACATCTTTCAAAAAATGGTTACATCGAAGTCACATTATACTGACTGTTTTTGGTATACTGTTTTATGTTTGCATGGTAATTTAAAATGTGAAGTTAACTTTCGGATCCGAATTTCGTTTCAATCGTCGTGTCTTCATCAACTGCTATGATTGACACATCCATATACTACATATACCTAATCACTGTCTACTTCGACATACAATGGTCATTGTTTTAATGGAGTAGATTAGAAGAAACCTAAGACTGTCTAGTTAAGGTCTTCATGATTATCGTTGGGTAATATAATCAAAGTCGTTCTCAATAATGTACGTGCCTACCTTGATTGTCCTCCCTTAGATATTAGGTTTCTAAAATTATCTCATATTTTTAAAGGATGAATTCATTTTATCTTCTCAAATCATATTATCTGATGCTTGATATTTTCTACTACCACTGATACTGTTACTACGTATCGTCTACTCGAGTAATTTCATCCCACTGCGTTGTTTTTTTTTAAAAAAAATTATTTTGTTTACAAGTTAAATTTATTCAACATTTATTTAACATCAATGGTTAAGATCATGAGTCAGTTGAAGCTAGACCACCATGGAAAACCTGGAAGCACTGGACGGCCGTTTCGTCCTATTGTGGGACTCCTCAGCAGTGCGCATCCACGACCTCGCCACCTGCGAGATTCGAACAAAGGACCTACTGGTTTTGCGCGCGAGCACTTAACCACTAGGCCACTGAGCCGGCATCCAACGGTGTTAATGTCTAGAATGACTTTAAGATTAATATCATTGATGCATATTCATACCTTAAATTATTATTCAATGTCTACTTTATAATCCACAACCATTCCGCTCTTTTTTTGCTACTATCGGACAGTGATTCCTGTTGTGTCTTTTTTATTTATTAAAATTAATAAATAATATGGCCATTATTAGTTGTAATAATTTCAATGGAAAACAAACAAACAAACAAATTTTCTCTCATTATACACACATTTCAAAGTTCCATATTATTCCCTCTCCCCCACTTGTGAGTACTATACATATATATATCAGTCGTGTGTACGTTCACGCACATCTATGAAACATTATGGGTGTTTCCGTCCATTTGTTTTGGAAAAATAATGAATATTAAAGATACATATTATTATATAAGCAAATGAAAATTTATTTTATATGAATAGAGCTATTTATCATTTTCATAGTCTATGCCGAAATTACATTTTTCGAAACAAAAAAATATATCGTAGCAACAATTATAAAAAAAGGGGGGAGAAGATTATTAAACTATTTTTTGTCATTAATTTTCGTCATGAGTTTTTTTTAATTTTGAGGAAATCATGTCATATTATGTGAAATTAATCAATTATCATTGAGTAAAGTAACCGGTAGTATGATTGTATCTAATCTTCCTTAGTGATCGTTGGATTCTATTGATCAAGCTACAATGCATCTATTAGTATCCAAGTGATTCAAAGTTGCCCGTGTTGTATTGATATGTTATGTATTTGGAATTAGTGGATAAGGAACGTTGAACCTAGATTTCTTGTCAGGAAGACGCACCTACAATTTGATGAGGAATTTACACTCTGTGTTAGATATGAACCCATCTCACTCAACTTCTCAGTGTACGATGTTGAGTCTAGTTTCCGCATTACAAATTAATAAATATAATTTAATCAACATTGGTAAATAGACAAATATGATATCGGCTAATAATCAATAGCCAATCAAACATTTTCCTCTCCAGAAAATCAAGGGGTATTCAGTTTGATCCAATATTAGGTTTTGGATTGGATGCTTCTGGGACGATTAAAATGACACTTAACACGAAACAACCATCCAGTAAGCCTTCAGGCATTTACAATATTTATCTAACTGATTTCAACTCGTTTGGTAGACGATTTCTAAAACGTTTATTCCGATCTTTTCATGGAATCAATCAATTAAAAAGAAATAATCGATTCAAATGGTTACTAGTAATAGTAAAAACATCATACTCACTAAGCAATTTCGTAACTATCTCTAGACTTAATAGCTTGGTGAATAACCTGTTTAAGTTTGAAGTGAATACGTACATAGTACATTTGAATGTCAATTTGAACATTAATACTGAAATACAAATGTATTCGTATTTTAGATTCAACTGCTCTAGACACAATTCATTTATCCATTGAAGCAATCTTCTCAAGATGAATCTACATCAATAAAGATTAATCTAATGTTCATTTCTGAATATCAGCATTGTTCAATGTATTCAATGTATTGAAAAATTGATTTTTTTTGTCCTCTTTTATAAATGATTTAATTTGTTTACTAAAAATAATCTAATTTTTTTTCTAAATTTTAATTCCGTTTTAGATCCTTTACTGAAATCTGTTGTACAAACAGATTATGGTTATTTATCAAATGTACCATTGCCATTCATTATATTATTTCCATATCAAGCAAGAAAATCACGTAATAATCATGATACATCTACATTGGGAAGACAAGTAAGCTCGTGAGAGAGAGGGTTTCCCCTCTAATTTTCTATTATTATTACTTACTTACGTCTGCTACTCCTCGTGAAGGAGCATAGGCTGCTTACCAGCCTTTTCTATCCAATCCTATCCTGGGCAATTCTTTCCAGTTGTTATTCATCCTTTTCATATCTGTTTCTATTTCCCGATGTGATGTGTTCTTTGGCCTTCCTCTTTTCCGCTTCCCTTCAGGCTTCCAAGTTGGGGCTTGCCTCGTGATGCAGTTTGACGATTTGCGTAATGTATGTCCTATCCATTTTCGTCGTATTTTCTTAATTTCCTCTTCAGCTGGAATCTGGTTTGTACTCTCCTACAGTAGGCTGTTAGTGATGGTATCCGGCCAATGGATGTTGAGTATCCTGCGTAGACAACTATTTTAAATACTTTGTACATTCTTGATGATGGTTGTTGTAGTTCTCTAAGTTTCAGCTCCGTACAGTAGAACTGTATTGACGTTCGTATTAAAGATTGTGACTTTGATATTGGTTGAAAGTTGTTTTGAGTTCCATATGTTCTTCAATTGTACGAATGCTGTCCTTGCTTTGCCAATTTTCGCCTTTACGTCTGCATCTGAACCTCCTTGTTCATCGACGATGCTTCCCATGTACACAAAGGAGTGATTGGATTGCTGTCCTCCGTGTTGTATTTGAGGATTTTGCTTTTTACTTTGTGTATGTTGAGGCCTACTGATGCAGAGGCTGTTACTACACTAGTTGTCTTTATCTACATTTGTTCGTGTGTATGTGATAGGAGCGCTAGGTCATCTGCAAGGTCTCAATCTCCTAATTGTTTCTGAACTGTCCATTGTATTCCGTATTTTCCCTCAGATGTCTAAGTTTTTATAATGCAGTTGGCCACCAGAAGAAAGAGGAAGGGAAAGAGTAGACAGCTTTGTCTGACTCCGGTCCTTACTGGGAATGCATCTGCATTATTATTATTATACATTATTCGATATAGTGAGATTGATATCATATGAAACCTCTCTATTGGTATATATGTATGTAAGTATATGTCTTTGTGAATATACAGTTGAAATGACGAGTTATGAACATGAAATAGTTGTAGAAATAATCCATTGTTTTTGTTAATACTACTACTAATAATAATAATGATGTGGATGTTATTTAGAAATATTTTTAGACAGACTAATATATCATTTATCTTCTTCGTATCTCAATTACACAAAATCGAGGGACATTACTGCTATATGCACATACCCATACATACTCCTATACACACACACACACATTTAGTTCATTTCACTGTTTTGTTAACCTTTCATTTTTACGTTAAACATGAATGTTAATTCAATTTCCAATTGTTTGTATTAATCTTTTGTTGATATTTTGTTAACTGAATTTAACTCCTGTGTCAATTGCCTTGATAATACCCATTATGTCAAATATTTTTATAGAATAGTTAGAATGTAACTAATAGTGAGATTCATAATATTCATGTTACGTCTTATTTCAAACTTTTCACCTAGATGTGTACACTTGCATCAATGTATTTATTTATTTATTTTCAACACATAGATAATGGTACAAAGAGGCACCAAATACATATGCGCCACACAAATCTCATTCGATATGTGTGAGGGCTGTGATACTGCCCGCGTGCCCAAGCCGAACCACGTGGTTTTATTAGGGGGCCACATCCCAAGCCTTCGACCTGAAGGTCTGATCCACAAGGCAATGGAGCAACGTAAGGAGACGCAGCCCCATGGTAGCCGGTGACCAACGATTGGTTCATACGCCATTTGTTTCCTCAGGATACTGGAGCCCATGTGCACCAATGGTTTGGAATCCGGTTAAAGCGCCGGACATTCGCTTTTCGTCCTCTCATTTTCGTAAACAACACCCGTGGTGCGAGAAGGCAGTGAGTAGGACTTCCCTGGCAGAGGCTGTATACGTGTGGCTGTTTGAGAGCATTTCGAGAGAGAGAGAGAGCGTACTCTCCCCACTCTCGGCCGTACCAGGGCATTTGGGGGCAATGTTGTTGATGTTCACACTGGTACCATACATTTCAAATGCCAAATGTATTATTCACTGAACTACTAAGTTTATATAGTCATTAAATTTCGGTCAATACTATATTGTTTACTAAGCAAATTCCATCTATTCTGTAGCAAACATGAATGCTTTTTCAGGCATGGACAATGTGATATTTTGAAATGGAGAAAGTATAAAATAATTAAGAAACTTAGTATATTGGAGAAAACAAATAGTCAGTGAATCTGGTTGGTGGACGATTATGAAGAATTTTGTTTGTTGCAGTAATCACGTGAACCCAAACCCAAGTAATCTGTACCGAACAACACGTCTCAGTTCAATTATCATCGTTTCCACGGACCCACCTCTACATTTATCCAATGTGCTCTTACATTAGCCGTCTCAATCTTTTCATTTTCCTTATTGAGTCCTATTTCATTCCTCTGTTTATTTAACAGATAAACTTTATAGTTCTTTCTTTTCAATCTTTGTTGGTTTTTGTATTTAACAGTTATCAAACGAATAATGATGACTTCGATTATATGTTGATTAATTATTGTTCTGTAGTAAATTATTCGTTAAAAATGGCGTCCACCCTGTTAACATTTACACAGTCATGTTCATAAGTGGTTCGGTAGTTAAGGAATTCAATTTTCCACCACTAACGTTCTCACTTGTGGTGTAACTCGAAGTCAAGTACTCTAGTCTATACTTAATGGTCAAATGATAATAATGATAATATGATCACTTATGATAAAGATAATATATCCCTTATTGCATACACCTGTGTTTATCGGCATAGATATAATCGTGTTTTATTTTTCATACTCTTTTTGTCACGCATACTTACATACTGTGGAAATATCTTCAAATGTTGCCCATATATTCAGAAATAGAATGCACCTGTAAATCAACCAGTGTACATATCTTCATGTAATATATACATATAAACTTTTCGAAATTGTTTAAAGCAAAATCTTAACATATATGATATTCACTGTTAGAGATAATTAAGGTGAATGTCCTGTTGTGCATCTTTTTGTTTATATATTTTTTTCTTCAGTTTCTTTCATTTAATTCTTTCTTTGATTCTTCTTCTATTGTTTCTTTTTTCCTTTGTTTCCTCTTGTTATTTCACTACTCAGTCTTTTCCTATTTATATAGGTTTAATGTATATTATCGAAGTGATGACTGTAGAAAATGTTTCTCTGTATACATATGAATTGATAAATGTTGCCCATGGTAATGTTGTCTATCTCTACTTATGTGTGTGTGTGTGTGTGCGCGTCTGTGTATCTGTCTGTCTGTTTGTCCGTAACTTGTTATTTGCAAGATGTAGTTGAGAGACACATTAATCCTGAAATTCCTTTTTCTTCTTGAAAGCAAAAGTTTTTAAAATTTCTTGAAAACAAAAAAAAGAGTGTAAATGTATGTAAATAAATCAAATCAAACATATTTTGATGCAGTTTCATCGAAATGAAAGTTTTACAGTAGTTTTAAGAGTAAAAGAGAGTGAGAGAGAGAGAGAAACGAGACGAAAGACAGAGAGATATGTAATTGAAATGATGAAGTTCAATTTCCACTTGCTTTTTCTTTGATAATAGGGCTGTATGTTGTGTTTTTTTTTGTTTCTTTCTCTTTCATCTATGGGTCGGTTGCTGTTAAGCATTACTTTGATATTCTTTTTATGAAAAAAACAACAGAAGAAAAGACATAAGAACTATGCTTCCCCAACTTAATTAAATGTAATGATTTAAGATTGAGTTTTCGGTTGGGATTAACTCAAGATTTGATTGAGAATATATATATTTTTTTATTACTGATCAGTATGGTTTGTGTTGTAAATTGTAGACTGTTTGCTGTGATTAACTTTATTTTGTTGTGCTAGTGTAGTATGGTGGATTTTCCTCTAACGTGTGGTAGTCATGTAGTAAACAAGAACACCACTGGGGACAATCGAATTATATTGAGCACAACATTACAGAGTTACTTAGTAAAATAGAAAAACCATACTATAATACTTAATTTGCAAAATGTTCAATAACTGTTTCGAACTTCGTTGTTCTTGCATTTTCATACTGATTGTTCTCTATTCCCGCTCTTCCTTTCTTGATCTTCCCCATCTTCTGCTGCCAGACATTACATTCCTAACTCGCGTCATATACTACTTATATCAATATAAGTAGCACGCATCACAGTCATACATTGATTATGACTAACTACAAACAGGCAAAATTGATGCTTGTACACATGGTAACTATCTATTTCCTATCAAATTTTTTGTATTTGTTTTATTCTGGAATCTTATCACAATCGATTTAAATCATGAACTGATTTGAGCTAGACCACATCTGAAAACCTGAAAGCACTTGATGGTCGTTTCGTTCTAGTATGGGGTTACTCAGAAGTGTGAATCCACGATCGCGCACGCGGAATTCAAACCCAGGAATTTCGTTCTTTTACGCTTGAGGTGACAATATTGATGTTCCCCCCATAATAGTTTAGGAAAGAGGATTGTATTTTCATCTTTTTTATTCTATTAATTTATACATTTAATTTTTATGATGATAAACCAATAAAACGTTTGAAAATGATTTTTAAAACGATGTGTTTTTAGGTAGGTATATTCCGTAGATCCATTCTTTTTTTCTCGAATCACTTTATCTATATTTAATGTTCTCTACCATCACTAATATTGTTACTTCTTCAACCTCTCTGAAGTACACCTTGATATTTTCGTCTCACTTTACCGATATGGTGTGTCGACTTGAAGCGATCCTTGTTTTCGTTTATTTTTATGTTGTTTATGATTGACTAACTGATTTTTCTTACATCTACTAGCCAATTATTAAAGTCTTGTGTGGCACATTGAACAATGGTATCATTCTAACTTACGATGCATCTACATTCACATTTTTCAATGTATTTTTTTCTGTGTACTTTGATATGATATTGTTTAATTAACTATGACTCGATGTGTCCAACTGAACTTGTCTTGTTCTTTCTATGAATTGACGTAGATTAGTTTTTTTTCTCTCTCTACTCATATATATATATCTCCTTTTGTTTATCTGTTGCAGGGTGGCTATTTTCAAAATACACGATTTTGGCTTACCATGTATAACCAACAAAAAATTGTGTTAAAATTACAAAAATCTCGGTATGTGTATGTTTTACTTTTGTTTATAATTGTTCATTCAGTTAGAGAATGTTGGTAAACTAAACTGACTGTATAATATTTTACTGAATTACTTAATGTAAGCGAATTAAAAAATATTTAAAGACCATGGATTGATTAAAATTAGACCAATGGTCTAGATTTTAAGCGTTCTTGTGTTCGAATCCCTCGTGCAGGATTATGGATACGTACTGCTGAGGTGTCCCACTCCGGGATGAAACAGCCATCCAGTACTTATAGGTTTTCAATGGTGGTTTAACTTAAATCGACTCGTTGATTCCACTGTTAACAATACTAAAATCTCCGCAACTCCCCTTAATGAAAAAATTTGAAGAAGTAAACAAAATATTTACTAATGGTAATTATTAAAGAATCATAGTAGTAAATGAAAGTAAACATTTTTTTGTGTGTACAAATAAAGCTTGTGAGTAAATGATAGTATCACGGTAATCCAATCAAGATGGTTATATCACAATAACGATTAATCAATTACTTTTTTATAGGGCTGCTACCTAAACGCTTGATAATGAACTGCCTGGCTGTTTTTTTTGTTTCCTCTGAAATCCTCTTACATTCGAGTCGGGTATAATAAAAAAAGGCGCGATTTAAGAACAGAAGCTTAGCTTTAATTTTTATTTATGTATAGAGAACAATGGTAGCTTATTGCTAACCTTTAACCTTTGAAAATGTTTGAAGGCATGTGAAATTCAGTAAAACAGTAACTAATAACTTAACCATTGTGACACATCCATTAGTTTTGTAAACGTTGTTTTAACGTATGCTGACGTAATGAAACATTTTTAGCCTTCTTCTGGCTTCTGAAGAAAGTATGGAGGAATGCTAAAGGACTCCTAACATTGTCATTAACTCAGAGAAAAGATTTTGGTTGAGTCACACTCTCAGAACCTTCACAATCAAACTGTCCGGCTTAAAGGATGTTACTCTACGAAAAAAATAACCTTTAACATCATGAATGAGAAAATGCAAACCTTCACAAATAAAATCGATAGCGGTTGCATGTTGTTTAAAGTATTTAGTTTACAATTAATAATAGATTTTAGATTCGAAGGTTACTTCGTTTATGAAGTTTCAGACAGTTGAATAATAAGTAATATAACTCAATATCGAGTACATAAAACTATTTTTGGTTTTATTTTACATGAAGATTCAAAAAACTTATTTAAAAGGTTATCCCTAGCTGTTTTATCACTGACTTGAATGTGGCCCGCATCTAATGAGAATGATTCGTTATTATGAAAATGTAACTTCTAAATGTCAAACAAAGTTTGATTGAGGAAAACACGTTTTATTCATTTAAACAGAAACATTGTTACAAAGGGGCGCCAAAATATAGATACACCACACAATAAAAATGAGATTGTGAATAGATAGATAAAGCAAGAATAAGTCTAATAAAAAAAAAGAAATATGAATAGAAATTAGTGTATGAGTATAAAACATAATGATAGTTGGATGAAAATACAAACAGGATGGATTCTCTCAGTTGTAGATGTTCCGCTCACTTATATGAAGAAAGTTAAAGCAAGACTATCACTGACTTCTATTCTGAGCCATACCACTTAGTGTTAAGTCGACGTATAATCACTCAATGCTTACTGGGCTATAAGTGTGAGGAATCAGGATTAGGATTTACAGCTGTACGTTAGGTTTAGAAATTAGATTCAATGTTTTCATCATGAGCTATAATGGCAAAATGTTATTTAACTAAATGAATGGATGAATTTCGCGCCAAAATCCATGACTTGTTTTCTCGAATCTGATTGGTTCGTCCATAAATTCCAGTCTTACTCGTAATCTGTTTTTTTGGACCGTTTTTAATAGTGATGGAACGTATTCTTCACATTGCTCAATTCTCTCATACAATATTTGATTAAATCATTTCATAATAATATTCGTCTTGCTTACTTTTTAGAATATTTAGTGACGCCGGCAATTACTCCACTTTGTATTATCAAAAGAAAAACGATGGACATATGTATGAATTTGAATCAGATGTATGTTGTTCGGTCTTTTCTTTTTTACACAATAAATCATGAAGCATATTTACCCGATAGATTACCTTGTTGTTTGTCAATCATCGCCTATCCTGATTGATGAGCTACGTTGACTCGACATATGAGACACTGTGTTCACGATTGAAGGTCTATGAGAACACCACTATTCTAGTTTCCTTTTCAGGTCCACGATGGAGAAAAACTACCTTTTCATGATGTAGGAAATTTGAAAGTGTCAAACACTCTCATACCTCTAACAATGAAAGAAAAGTGTAAAGGAAAATATGCTGAGAACTACAGTGGTTCTCCGTTATTTAACATACGAGTAATCTATATTGCTTTTTCAACTAACGCATAAGTTCCTACACTTAACACTATCGTGAAAATATTCAGTTTAAACAAGTCAAAGACAGGAGGGCTTATTCGCAGTAGTTTACACCTATTTGGAAAATAAAGTATTAACACAATTTTTCTAATAAATGAGATGTACTGGTTTGATATTATTGGCTAATATGCCACTGTATTTCAGAATCTGTCATATACATTACTTCATACAACTAAACATGGCGAAAATATAATTTATGGGACGAACCACTTACACCTTGTATTTCGACACGAAATTCATTCATCCATATGACTAAATAGCATTATAACTTATATCATTTCGTGGTAAAAATACTAGCGTGCAACTGCAAATCCTAATTCCTTACACTAATTTATAATTCTCTTTTAACCCTAGTAAGTAGGTGAAAATTTGCTAAATCACTTCAACTTCACTCAAATGTTGTCCATAAATTATGGTCTCACTGTAAACTTAAGTGAATTTGTATTATCTCAATGAATAGAGGGTAGAATTTCTGATCCGTCATAACTTAGTGTAAGCTACTTCTTCAGAGAATAGATAAATAACTCTAAAACAATCATATATAACTTTGTTAATAATACTTTTTTTTCTACAAATAAATCAATTATATTGGGAATAATTCAAATGAATGAAATTTGAATGATTTCAATGTTTCGACCCAGTTATCTTGTTTGAACTTCTGTAGTGTAATAAGTAAGATTATCTAAGAGAACTCGATATTTTACAAATAAATTTACACTATAAATGGAGATGATTGAATAATCTTCTAACTTAGATCTATTTATTAAATGCTATATATTCTTTGATAATTTTATTAAGTATTCTTATAATTTGGAGTAGTCTATAAAAGATAACTAAACTCCGAATCATTGGAATTTCATTCATTGAGGTTATGACAGTCTGCTTGAATATCTGGATGACCTGCTTCTTTCATCTAGATTTTTCAACTAGTTACCTGTTTTTGCGCGTTTATGGAAAGTTCACAACATTCAAATGTACAACATACAAAACAGTACAATCACACAAGCTATGGTTTCTGGCAATATGCATTAAAATGAATGAACATTATTCAAATGTTGGTTCCTAAACTACTAACATCTAGCTGATGATCACTAATTGATAAGATTGATCATTTTCAATTCCCACTAAGTCTAAACATATATTGTAATTGTGGTGTAATAACAATTCAACAATCCTGGTTAAATGATTTACAAGACGATTGGTCAGTATCACTACAAGAATTCAATATTTATTGTCAGAATGGATTAAGTAATAAGAAGTGGAATCGTGTTGAAATACTTTGTGCTGAGAATTCTATATTGTACCAAAAATATGATATTGCATGAAACCACTTATTATTATTTCCTACGTCATTCTTAACACAAATCTTCTATATATTCAGGGTTGAATTCCTTTGATACTATTTATTCAAATCATGATGATTATGCTTACAAATTTGCATTTATCGTCTATTGCTTTATTTATTTATATAGAAATTAAAAAACTGCTATTACACTGGTACAGTAGTGAATCAAACAGAAGATTATTTGAATTTAGATACTACTAAATCTACTAATTATGTTGCTGTAAATACATGTTTTGGTTTGAAGTAAGTCGGTTTAATCTTTCTGTCTCTTTCCTTCTTCTTCACATTTTATTTACTTGGTAGTATTGTGATGTGAGTTACTTATATCCACATAAGTAGTATATAACGTTGGTGAGGCATAGAATGTATTTCAGTAAACGATCGATAAGGAAAGAACGGAAACGGAACACGATTGTTATGAAAATGCATGAACAGTGAAATCTGAGACAATGGACTGATATTTGTAAAAGAAACAGTCAAGCTTGAGGCAATGAATAGATATTTTGAAAATAAATTATTTACTACATGGTTCTCAGATTTTAGTGAGATCCTCTGTAATTGCGTGTCAAATACATTCAGTTGTCCCCACTCGTGTTCTTGTTCACTACATTATTAACAAAGCAACAATAAAGAACGATAGTAGTGCGTTGATTATGATAAGTTTGGAAATCTATTGGAAGTGTTTAATGTAACTTATCGCCTAAATAAATATTTAACCAGAATCAGGATTTGTGGAGATCGTAGTTATTTTTAGCAATTGGATTCATGAATTGATCAATATAAGATCAACATTAAAGACTTGGATGCAATGGATAGCCACTTCGTTTTAGTATGGGAGTCCTTATCTGTCTACGTCCACAATTCCGACTCGAACCCAGTACCGTTTGTTTCAAACGTCATCGCGTTATCTACTTAGCTGCTGAATCCAGATTGCCACTAGCTTGTGCAATTAAAAGCTTGTTCAACTTTCGTTTGGTATAAATAACATTCGTCCACTATAAGACATATTCCTATAATCTTAAGGGAACTGATAATCCCTGGTGAATTCGTACTCGATGATAAGTCTCGCTAATTAAATGTTCATTCTGATTGCCTAGCCGCTTTTAACAACAACAGATTGAATGTACATGACAACTTAAACACAAGAGAAAGGTACAAATTTTGGTGATAAATATTTTTTCGACTCTCAAAATAAATCGAAATGATTTAAGAATACATCATATTTTATCTGATTTATTCATAGTTACATTTGTATAGTTTGAACTGTTGTATTTACCAATAGCTTACTGTATGAACATAGATTTACCATGCATTATACAATTAAGCATCCATGATGCTTCTTAAAACGTGAAGACATGTCGCACACACAATTGAAGTCTTAAAAAAAAACCAGTTTCATATCTCGTTCGCATATCAACTCATCAAGTTATTACTTGTTATATCACTCGGATAATCCAGTTTCAGCAGTATGAGACACAGTTACCACCATACTATTTCAACCATGATAAGTCGTTAAGCTTTTAATATGGGTATTTTGAGAATACATATATAATTAGTCACAGCTAGATAATAACGAATCCAAAATATAAAATTTGTAAGTAATATTGAAAAAGGCAACTTCAAGCTATGAGTATCCTAACTTATACCTCTTTTTAATACTATCCATAATCCTTAGTTTAGTCAAACGGATTCTGTTTAAATTGCTTCAATTTGTTGTTGTCAGGAAACATTGAACGGCTGCTGCTTTATTCTAGTATTTAACTCGTGGGCAGCGCTCATCTATTACCCCACCAACATTGGATGATGATTGCGCATTATCTCCAATCAATTGAAATTTAGAAATAAAAATTATGAGATGCCAAATTAGTTGCCTAAAGATTAAGCGTCCACAGCGAGAACTGCAAGTCGTCGATTCGATTCTTGCTTGAATCATGTGTATGAGTAATAGTCCCATATGAGTTAGAAGCTACTATCCATTGCTTGTTGGTTTTTAATTTTTTCACCGATATCAATAAGCACACTTTTCAACAAACCAATTCATCTAATTAATAATTAACAACTATCTGTCTTTAAACAAAGAGTTGAAAAATCTTAATCAACCAATATATTTATTCATCTCTTGTTTTTTTCCCTCACTTATTTTCAGTGGTATCATTCATTATGCCAATCAAACATATGGTATACGTCCACTGCATTGTAAACAATGTGATTCTACAGCCATTCCACACCTACTATTTCCACATCGATCAAAGTTGATCAATCGAGGTTTGTGTTAGTCCTTGTTCTTTTATGTTGTAATTCATGTCATTTTATTTTCTTTTTTCTCTCAATATAAATATCTAATTTAACTCAGTTTTACTTAGAATAAATCGCTTTATGTGCTCGACTTTGAGTTACTCCATTTATAAGGATTAGGTAACTGATCCAACTTTTCGGCTACTTAAACTAAGATTGACGAAAAAGATTAATTTGCCGGCCTAATTGAATATCTAGGCTACCTGTTCCTGACATCTATATATTTCAACGAGTTATCCATTTTTATTTGTTTATTTTAAGACATCATTATGTCTATTAATCGCATAACTTATTCAGGCGCGTTTAGGAAAAGTGTACGACCTTTTGCTGTACATGTTATAAAAATGCTGAATCAGATACATCGTGGTGAATGGCAATATGCATTGAAAAGAGTGAACATTATTCAGATGTTGATTCCTAAACTGCTAACATCTAACTGGCGATCACTCAATATGTTATTGTCCGGATCGTTCAAGCAATATGAAAAGGAAACTTGTTGGATTACTTTGTGCTGAGGATTGTAGATTGCACCGAAAATAAAATATTGAATAAAACTAATAAGTGGTTTCATGCAATATTATATTTTTGGTACGATATAGAATTTTCAGCACAAAGTATTGCAACACGTTTCCATTTCTCATTACTTAGTCGATCCTGACAATAAATATTGAATTCTTGTAGTGATACTGACCAATCGTCTTGTAAATCATTTAACCAGGATTGTTGAATTGTTATTACACCATAATTACGATATATGTTTAGACTTAGTGGGAATTGAAGATAATCAATCTTGTCAATTAGTGATCATCAGCTAGATGTTAGTAGTTTAGAAACGAACATCTGAATAATGTTCATTCATTTTAATGCATATTGCCAGAAACTATGACGTGTGTGATTGTACTATTCTGTAAGTTGTACAGTGAAAGGATGTAAACTTTTCATAAATAGTCAACAGTTTGTGTTTATCAACCTACATCAATAACTTTCCTTCTTACATCGATTAATATAAAAACAATCATCTAGTCATCCAAATAGATCAAAATACCTGATTATTATTATTATCCAATATTACAATTAAATCTACCCAATCAGATCAATATCATGATCCTAAACATGACAATTTTAATTAATCTACTCAGTTAATTTCAATACATAATTTAGTGCATGTGTTTTATAGTTTTTTTCCATGATACGAAGGTATAACTTCAGATCAAACTATACATAATCCTTTCCATTTTTCTTTATAAAAATTTATCTACATTAATGTTTTTTCACACTTTTAACAAAATCATTTAATAGTTATAATTCTGTGCGAAAATGTAACTACTGAATAGGCTTGATATTGATATAACATAAAGATTAGATAATACTGATGGTACTAATCGTGTCGGGTAGAGACAGGTATCCATCTCATTACAATGGAGGATGGTCGCGCAATTTAGTAGATCGGTTAACACCGTCGTATGTCGGCTCATTGGTCTAGAGTTAAAGCGTTGACTCTCGAAACCAAAGGCCCTGGGTTCGAATCACGTGGGGAGAGTCGTCGATGCACACTGCTGAGGAGTCTCACAATAGGACGAAACGGCCATCCAGTGCTTCCAACAACAATGCACGTCTTCGAATCCACCTCAGGAGATTGATTATAGGCGTTTCAGACTTTAAAACGAACGCTCAACTTTCAGACCTTTAAGTTGATATTCAATTATTTACATTTCTAAATTTAAAATGTTTATTTAAAGATCGGCGACTAATTTAGTGATAAAAGATAATGATTTTTGGAAGAAAGACAATGATTATATATCATTGAATTATCCATTAAAAAGCTATATATATATGTCAGATAAGATTACAGACCTATTGTAGACGATTAAGTGACAAAAAGGCACCCCTGAACGACTCCGTCGCTTGTTATATGACCATAGACCCTGGATCAAACCCCTGTAGATGAGCACTACCGATGAGCACCCAAATGCCCTGGTATGGCCGAGAGTGGGGAGAATCCGCTCTCTCTCTCTCTCTCGAAATGCTCTCAAACAGCCACACGTATACAGCCTCTGCCAGGGAAGTCCTACTCACTGCCTTCTCGCACCACGGGTGTTGTTTACGAAAATGAGAGGACGAAAAGCGAATGTCCGGCGCTTTAACCGGATTCCAAACCAATGGTGCACATGGGCTTCAGTATGCTGAGGGAACAAATGGCGTATGAACCAATTGTTGGTCACCGGCTACCATGGGACTGCGTCTCCTTACGTTGCTCCATTGCCTTGTGGATCAGACCTTCAGGTCGAAGGCTTGGGATGTGGCCCCCTAATAAAACCACGTGGTTCGGTTTGGGCACGCGGGCAGTATCACAGCCCTCACACATATCGAATGAGATTTGTGTGTCGCATATGTATTTGGTGCGTCCTTGTACCAATATCTATGTGTTAAAATAAATAAATAAAAATGAGTCCCATACTAGGACGAAACAACCATTCAATGCTTCATGGTTTATTAATGATAGTCAAATTAATATTAGTCTATATTGTAAGCTATGTAAATATAGAAATGACTGTATCAATAAATAAAGTCCTACTTATGTTTTCATTATTTACACTATACACAAAATTGACAGGTCATTTACTAGTCAATAAATAAATGAATGAATGAATGACGTGTTTTTAATAATAAATGTCACCAAAATTCAGTTTAATTACAACAATCTATCTCCATCTATCTTTTCTGGTCAATTTTTCATAGTGATCACTTTGACATGCATAACTTATATTGGTTGTGATACTAATCAAACTGACATTGATAATAATCATTATTAATTACTTCATTTATTGTACTACTGTAAAATTAAGTATTACCCTCATTTACTAGTTTTAATTAACTGATTAACACATTTGTCAATTGTTTCCATTGAATAATAATAATAATGTTACTAAAAACTGAATATGTAACAACAACTCAATGATCACATACACATACTTGTGGTCATACGGTAATTAAACTGGTTACTACAGGGGGGGGAATGTGGAAGTTGTTATATTTTATAGTTTTATATCATAGACTGATAATTAATTAGACAACTATTGAACTTCATAAAACACTGGATTACTTTGATGTTCTAGTGTATGGTATACCTTAGCAATGGGCACTGATAACTTCTGGATTCAGGATCGTCAGGTTGTGCATTGAGCTCTTACCCTCTCAACAGATTATTTAGTGAATCACTAATAAAGTAATTTCAATGTTGATAAAAAGAAGAATCTTTCCGGAAGATTTCAACGCCTTTCCAACATTTCTCAATGTTAATTCTATCTTTCATTTTATGCGAAAAAAGATGAAGTGCAAAGATATTTAACCGTTTTTTATTACTTAATAAGTGTTCAGCATTCAGTATTTATAGAGATTTTTCCGTTTATTAAGTGAATTAATCTTCCATCTAAAAGGGTAATGTTCACTGGAGATTTCGGTTTTTAAAAAAAAATTTATCCAAGATCATTGCTGTGAACATATTAGTGTTACACACCCCAACATGTTGGATGATAAACATAAATATTTTGAAAGTTGAAGCTTGAATTTAGATCTTTAATGAAAATTAAACTTTTGAGTCCATCACTTATCCACTAAATAAACGGGTAACTCTCTTAAAATGCTAGATACTGGGTATTTATAGAATATTGAAAGTTTTTGGACAGTGTGGCACAGAAATTTGAAAGCAGTTAATATCAATTCTGTCTGGCTCGTTTTTGCCTATTATACGTGTATACCATTGAGATGTAAAGTGTTGGTTAAAGATAATAGACAGGAAATCCCGAAAACTATACCTGTAGGAACTGATGTTTCCTATCAGATTCGATTCCGTATCATCCAGCTTTACAGTCAGAAATGTTACTACTAAACTATTTCAACTGCAACTGACCTCCTATAGTAGTAAGATGTACTTCTAGTTGGTTAATCATTGAGTAGTGACCAATGTTATGTTTGTCAAATCCATTCTAGTGCTAATCGAATCCAATCGACCAAGTTGCAATATGACTCCACTATTAATCTAAGTGATTCGACATTACAGGCACTATATCGAGTTATTAAGATGGTGAATAGAGAGAGGTTAATGGACATACAATCTTGGACCTTGATATGTGGCATTTTTTGTCAAATATAATACACATTATATCAGAAGGGTTTTTGTGGATATTATAGTAATTTCAATGGTTAAGGTCATGAGTCAATTGAAGCTAGACCATCATGGAAAACCTGGAAGCACTGGATGGCCGTTTCGTCCTATTGTAGGACTCCTCAGCAGTGCGCATCCACGTTCTCGCCTCGCGAGATTTGAACCTAGGACCTATCAATCTCGCACGTGAGCGCCAACTATTAGACCACTGAGCTGGGCGGCATCCAGAGGTGTTAAGATGAATTATAAACCTTTCTGTAAGAAAAGAAATTAGAATATAATAGTCTTTTTGTCCGTAAATAATCACAATTTTTTGTTTTTATTAAGAGGACTGTATTGTCTTGTAATTCTTCTCTATTTAATTACAAAATTGAACATGATAGAGTGCGTGTTTGTGTGTGTGCGCGCATGACTCGGTTTAGAAGAAATGATTCAGTTTTTTTTAATTGTACCTGCTTGACATACATAGAGAGTAATAATAGTAACTATAATAATAACAGTCTAATTGCATCTGAACATGATCAGGTATTGTGTGTTTTGTTCGTCTCTGTGTTTATGTATATATAGATATGTGTGTGTGTTCATCGTTGTCTATATTTGATAGTTTTCATCTCCTTTTTTTGTGCTTCTTCCTTCATAGATTGATTACACTATCATTTTGTTCTTTGCCCATCCTTGCCTACCCCCTCCGTCTCTCTCTCTCTCTCTCTTACATAATATTTTTGACCCTGTTTAATTTAACGTATAATTTTTTCGCTTTTTTCCCGTTTTCTGTAGTCAGCAAATTAACATTCATTACCGTTTATTAATTTCTATTTAATTTTGCTTACTGTTAACTTATTTGTTAAATTTCTTTAAAATACAATTACTATACCTTTTTGTTCTAGATTCATTTGGTTTTGTATGTATCTGAGTATGTGTATTTATGAATAGTGTTGTATTATGTACAACTGGGGAATTGTTGAAAATAAAACAGTACTGGACAATTGGTTTATCCCCGTTCGAGATTTGTATGTGCCACTGTTTACCCACCGATCACACATGAAATAGAATTCACTTCCACCCTAAGTGTTTGTCCAAGTCATGTTTATGAATATAAACTACCTGGTTGGAGTTTGCACGATAACTGCTATCAGTAGTCAGAGATATTGGATGGCATGGGTCAGAATCGACTACAGCAGTTCAAATGTATTGACTCCCTGACCTTACTCTGCATGTTCAGTTTCGGTTTTCCTTTTTTCAAACCATATTTTCAATTGATATATATTGGGTGTTTGGATCTTACCCAGTGTGCCTAATTAAGACTGCAGTTGACCAACCTTTTGACATATATATGCATCGTATGGGAATTGCCTCGATATTTCTATCAATTTACAATGATTCTAGGCGGAGATGAATGGTGGCTGGTAGTGGAGTTCACGATGCATGTTTCGTCCTAGTTTGAACTCCTCATTTGGATGTACCTGCATCTCAAAGCTGATATTTGTACCGGGACGAAACCCACATCCTAGATTCTACTGCCAGACATTATCCATATTTTCAGTGTTTATCTCTGTCATTGCCTGTAGAATTATTTCGAACTCTTTTTATTCCTCTTAATTTAATTTGTTCTCACTGATTAAATGTGGTAACCGGGCTTTGTGTACATTCGTGTCCTGGCTTTATGTTGATCATATTTGGCTATAAAAATATACTGATCAGTGTTTTAGAATTTTTAATCGACTCTTCAATGAAAACTATTCCAAATTAATCTTTATTAAAAGCCTATCATAAAATGATATGTATTTCATTGCTTCAAAAGTATTTATTTATTTATGTAAACACATGAACATTGGTGCAATCAGGCGCCACACGCCACCATTCAATTTGTGTGAGGGCTATAATGCTGCCCAAATACCCGAACCGAAAGTGGTGTTTTTATAGATCCACTACACGAGCCTTTTGCTCACAGATGTAATCCACAATGCAGTGGAACAACGTTAAAAAATGCAGTCTCATGTTTTATACGCCATTTGTTCCTTCAGGATCCTGGAGCCCACGTGCACTATTATTTTGAAATTAGGGTTTTCCAAGTGCCCTATGTGGACCCTCCGTGTCCACCAACCAGATTTGCGTGCCAAACATTCGCTTTTCATCCTCTCAATTTCGTAAACAACACACCCGCGGCTTGAAGGCAGTGAGTAGGACTTCCTTGATAGTGGCTGTATACTCGTGATCTCATATGTAAGAATTGGAGAGGGAGAGCTGAGTCTTTCCACCCTCAGTCGCACTAGGGCACTCGGGGGTTTAAAAGAATCAACATTATATGATACTCTTTTTAAGTTTCTAGTCTTTACAATTTGTTGTAATGAGAAAATGATGTAACAAGTTGTATTGGCAGTTCTCCATATTGAAACAGTAGCTAGAAAGTTATTCTTAAAACATTGATTCATTAGACAAAGGAAAGAAAAAGAACACATCTTTACGTAAGATTCATACGAAATTGTTTTCTTTTTTTTATGACCGACGAAAAAACACACAATACAATTGTGTATGAACAAATTATTGTTACATTTTTAATTAGTTACAAAAATGTCTTTTCAAATCGGGAGTTAATTTACTTAATTGGGTTAAACTATGTATTGTGATGGTATTATAATACATAGTTGAACTAAAGATTCTTTTAATAGTTTACTTCAAAGATTGATCTTAGTTCTATAACCATTAAAAATTAGGAAGTATTGAATAGTTGTTCGATCCTAGTATAGAACTGTAATATATAAACCTTGACAAATCCCCTTAATCTTCATCAGAATTATCTGCTCGCTAATGAATAATTTCTAAGAGGTAATTTGAAGAGTTCTAAGTGAAAGCTGTAACAACTAGAGTTCAGTCATGTTGATTGTATGACAGTTACCTATCATTAATATCGGAAGATAGTTGCGCAATACTGCGAATTTATTGAAGTTGGATGTGTAAACAATTGGATATCTACTCAGTAGTCTGAATATTACTCGCTTGCAGTAAGACCTGAAAATCCCCAATGGGGTCGTAGACATGCAGCGTTAAAGAGTCTCATACTAAAACGAACTGGTTATCTAGTGCTTCCCAATATTTTATGGTCATCTAATTATAAATAATTCATTATGTAAAGTATTCAAATGTAGTTTTTGTATTTTCTTAGGATTTTAATTCATCAAAATAACTTTCTGCCTTTCGTTAAAATATTGCTTATGATTTCTTACATTATCACTACGTCTCTCCTATGTGTTTATTTAATAATATTACTAACAGTAATGATTCTCATATAGACTACATGAAATGTGGCTACCGATGGAATCCACGTTTCGTTCTATATGGGACTCGTCAGCTGGCTGCACCTGACACATCCCAGATTGATGTTTGCTCCTAGATTCGAACCAACTACAGTACCGTTTGATCCAAACGCCATCACGGTCCTGTCTTTTTTTCAAATATAAAAAAATATCTTATCAATTATGTGAATTTTATGCGAACACTATTATGAAGCGCAGTCACATACGTTTTCAGTGCTGCTTGGAGTTCTTAATGTTAACTGACTATATGCCAATAAGTAGATATTTAATTCTTTATAATCGGTTCCGACGTTTCAAACAAAATAGCTGGATTAAATCTCACTTCTTTTATAGCATTTAAATAAACGATTTACCAAAATACTTATTGCAGAATAGTCTAAGCGAAATGTCATACTTTAAGTAACTTTTCCGAATAATATTGATTTTAAATGCTATCTTCTTCATAAACAAATAGAGTCTTACATAAAGAAGAAATAGTTGGCCACTCCCCATTGGTTTTCAATAATATTCTATATAGTGCTAATTCATGACAAGCGCTGTTTTAAAAAATGAAAAAAAATACATAACCTCAGTGACCCCACACTTTCTCAATTATCTGTTCACTACTAAGTAGTTTTGAAATAACCTTGTGCGAATTTTTGATTACTAAATTTCAACGATGTCAAAGTGAGACTGTCATCACCCATGGCATTACATAACCATCATCCTACCATATCACTAAAATCGGAAATTCCAATATAAACATTCAATTTTAACTCAATGGTCTAAATGTAACGCATTCATCAAAATTTTCAAAAGTCCTGGATTCAGCCTTTCGTTGGGTCACAAACAAACCTCACTAAACAGTTACCCAATACTGAAATGAAACTAATTTTCAGTAGTTCCTTATTTTCTGTTACCATAGGTGGTTCTAATCCATAACTACATGTTACTACCTAAAAATAGATAACAAACAGAAAATATTGCATCAAAGTTAATGAAGATTTTACCATTAATTGATCACTGAGTTAGGACTAATTTCATGTGTGTCCATTCATACCTAGTGTCGACCGAGTAAGATTTCCTATTGTGAAACTGGGTAACAAGTAATCGAATCCATCAGAAAACATCATCCCTCTTAAGATCACAAATACACCTTGCTTACAAGTAGTATCGAATAGCATGAAACCGTTGTTGAGAAGGATTTTTTGTTGTTGTTGACAATCTCCAACTACCATCTTATATGAATATTTTCTTAACAAAATATTACATTGTTTAATCATTGATATCATCAACATTCCATATACATATGCTCTGATTAATGAGTTTTTTTTCCCAACTATTCTTTTGTATTCATATTCCGAAGGTTTCAATTCATGGGAGCTTTTTTCTATTCAAATGTCATTTAAATATCTGATACACTTTGTGAACTAGTTTCTATGTGGATTTATATATATAAATCCTTGTTTGCATTTTTCTTCACACACACACACACTCTCTCTCTGATATTATCATGTTGTGTATTATTTTACTAATAGATGTTCAATTACCAGTATTTTGGCGCCCTACAGATATTTTTAATATAATGAACAGAAAACCTTTAACAAAAGTTGAAGGACCTCGAATTTACACTATAAATCTTGCGTTAACGCTTGATTATCATTTAGTAAGTTGATGTTAAACAATTTGTTTTCTAGTTTTTTTTTCTTTTAATAATTTAACTAAAATCAACTTTGAGGGGAATTACTACCGTTTTTCGAGTGGATAAAAACTGACAACTGTATGTGTATGTATGTATGTATGTATGTATGTATGTGTGTGTGTGAACGAGGGAATATTGTTGACTGGTAATGAAATAACTATATATGTATAACTAGATTTCAGTAAATGGTATGTTCTTTTAATCTGAAATAACATACTATCCTGGTATCAAAATGTTGATTATATTATATATGAACATGGCTTTGCATTATTTACCAGAGCAACCATCGAGAAAACATACTATACTGTTAAATTGATTGTTATTACAAACAACTAAACCAATTATTCCACATAGGATTAAGCGTTGTGTAAACAATTGCATCACGTCCCATTTTATTTACCAATTCATTTGTGTGTGTGGGGGGAGTTGACAAACAAATGCGTCAGGAATATTAAGTTATCCTTGCAATCAAGGTTTATTCGATTTGTACCGAAATGGCTCAAGTCAGTCAGTCATCAACAACGTAGAACTTCTTACGTACGTACATCAGTTCGAGTTAGCTAGCAGTAAATATTCTGATAAACATAGGAATTAGGAAGCCATGTTGATCAATAGTAAAATACACAATTGAAACAGGACATAGAATTGAACTTAATATATTTTTTAAAGTGTTGTATAGAGATTGTCAAGGATAAGTTCTCTAGAAAAGTCCCTCAGCATTCGAAATCTGTTTCATGTGCACCAAAGAACAATAATTTATCGTAACCTTGAATCTTCTCTGATGATTTTCCATGCATTAGAAAACTTTAGTTGGTATCTTCTTATTTTTTCTAGATTATTTCACCATCTTTTCTCACTCATATGCAATTCAATGATCACTTTATATTGATCCAATTCTGAAATAGATTCAACTGACATTCATTAATTTTAAGAAATCAATGCTCTGATAAGTAATATGCATGTCTTGATTGTCTCTATGGAATGTACAACGTAATAATTTTTGTAGATCAACTCTATCGTTCTCATTGACTTAATGAAACTAATAAAACGAAATAGTTAACGTTGAAAAAGATAAACAATGATGAGAAATCTCTGACCAGTTCAATATAATGAAAAGAATAGTAGCTGATTGAACCAATAGTAAAAATGTTCGTTTTCAATTAGCCCGTAAAATTATGAATGAAGAAACCATAAAATAACTGTTACTTATACGTAATCACGTTGAATATATTATATGAGTAGCATCGATGATAGTCTTGCAATATCTTGAATCGACACTTCAGTAACCTCGATATTTGTCAACCATCCAGCATTGCATTTTGTAACTTACTCGCTAAAAATGCCGAACTTTTCGGAAGAGAGCTAGAGGCAGCCAAACTAAATTGTGGTATCACTTAATGAATTCATTGAACGCTTATCTGAGCTGTGTTGTAAAGTGTAGACTACCTGTCTGGGGTCTTTCACGATAACCATGATCAGTAATCGCAGGCCACAAGTGATGTAGATAGGAATCAATCACATTGCCTCAGAAGCACTCGCTTTTTATCTAATTCTAGATCTTGATTCCCAGTATTCCTCTATATATACCTTCTCATTAAATCTTTTTGAAACATTCTCAGTGCATAGCCCTTACCATTGTCATTAATATTGCAGTATATTGATTTCTTTGTTGCTCACATTTTCAAATTCATCTGTTCGTGTTGACGTTTTCTGGCCGCTTAGGTTAATGCACATTTTTGTCAAAGCTCCACGTTGATTGATGACTGACTGGCTGAAGGCTGTAAATTCGATCTCTGATGGCTGAAGGTCTCGAATGCATATTATTGATTGGCTAGCATAAAACTATTTCTCATTGATGATATTGAAGACTGAATTCGAGATTAAACCAACCAATATCACTGCAAACGATCATGAAGAGATAGAATTAAGGCGTTGTAACTATAAGTATACTATTGAGACATTATTAGACCATTATTCTTGCGTACACACATACATGGATATAACAGTTGTTATTGAAGTTGTAATCGCTAATTAGTATGCTTTTTTTCTAACGTGACCCATATACTACTTAATTTTCTGAAAAAAAAAATAATCTCAAAATCTGTGCTACCGTTTGGGAATTTTATCCCTTTTTAAACGAATAAACAATCAACCATCTTTATGTATGTTCTAATGTACATACTGAATGTGTGTGTGTGCATTGATAATGCTGAAGATTTCATCATTATTTATACACTGTCGAAACAGAATAATTTGTTTACGAAAAGCAAATAGTAATCAACAGTTTCTTAATTGGAATAATGAATTTTATTATTTCTATTTTCACATTCTTCTTTCTTTTCTTTTTTTTTTTACAGTTTTCATCGTTTGGTCATAATCTGGAACGTGGTATTCATTATTTAAGCAATGTGTTAAATCAAGTAACTAAGGTGAGTGTATATGTGTATGTTCGTGTAGTTAGTAATTATGTCAAATAAGGCACACTAATATGTAAACATAATTGATCTCGGGAAATCATTTAAAACCAGGAAGCAATGAACAACTGTTTCCTCCTATCAAAAGACTTCTCAGTACATTCTTCACCAGACCTCGAACCTAAAGCACACTTACTTAGGTCTTGAGACAAACACTCATGTTTTTGTCTCTGATTTTTTTTCTCTCTCTGTTAAGTCAATTATTTTCTGAGTTAATGGATATTTATTTATTTCATCACATTGTTGATTTCTACATTCATTGTTTTAACATTAGAACTGTTAATAAGAATTTTTGTCAATAGTTGAGATCATGAGTCAGTTTAAGCTAGACCGCCATGGGAAACCTGGGAGCACTGGACGAGCGCTTCGTCCTACTGTAGGGCTCCTCAGCAGTGCGCATCCACGATCAGCCGGGTCGGTTGTGAGATAGTAACTCACTGAAAACAATTTCGTGGATTGGTTGAAGTTAGACATTAACACCGTTGAATGCTGGCTCAGTGGTGTAATGGTTAGGCGCTCGAGCGCGGGACTGATAGTCATACGAAGCATATGGAGAGCTTTATGTTTAATCGTTGAGGTGATTGAAACTATAAGACGTATCTACGATCTTGAGATAACAGTTAACTACTTACTTACGCCTGTTACTCCCAATGGAGCATAGGCCGCCGACCAGCATTCTCCAATCCACTGTGTCTTAGGCCTTCCTTTCCAATTCTATACTATTTTTGTTTATTCTTCTCATGCTTGTCTCCACTTCTCAGCGTAATATGTTCTTTAGTCATTCTCTTCTCCGTTGGCCTTGAGGATTCCAAGTAATGAGGGCTTGCCTTGTAACACAGTTAAGTGCTTTCCTCAATGTATGTCCTGTCCACTTCCAGTGCTTCTTCCTGATTTATTCCTCCTCTGAGATTTGGTGTGTTCTGTACCACAGTAGGTTGTTGCCGATAGTTTTTGGCCGACAGATTTGAAGTATTTAGCGTAGACAGCTGTTAATAAACACTTGTATCTTCTGGATGATGGATTTCGTAGTTCTCCAAGTTTCCGCTCCATACAGTAGAACTGTCTTGACATTTGTATTGAAAATTCTGACTTTAGTGTTGGTTGACCGACAATTACAGGATTTTGTTAATAAAAACAATTAAAAATGACAATAACAAATATATATTTAACTCCAGTCTTAACTATAAAATTCCTTTAATAATTACTTTTTCTTTTCTATTTGACCATTACCAATTAACTGTTGTTTCCGAAATACAATAAGATCGTCCATATAGGGTTGTGGAGGTTGTTGAGTTTTAAGATCATGACCATTGTAAACTGGGAAGCACTGGACGTCCGTTTCCTTTTAGTATAAGAATGAGTATTCACAATCTCGCACGTGGGACTTGAACCCAGTACTCTCCGTTTCGTGTACGAACGCTTAACCTATAGACCACTGAGCCGGTATCAACCAATCCACGAGGAGTCTCACACCAGGACGAAATGTTCGTCCAGTCCTTCTACGTTTCCAACGGTGGTCTAACATTGATCAGTTCATGATCACAATAAGATCATTTAACAATTTAATCTGTAAAGGCTTAACTAATCTCCAAAAACCATTAATGCGTTGAGTAACATGTTGGATATGAGACAGTTATCCGCTGCAACAATTGAAAATGGCCGAGAAATTTGTTACGAATTGATTGAAGTTAAATATATACTAACCATTAGACGACTTAATGATCTAAGAGTGAAGTGTTGGCGCACCAACCCGAAGTGTGGTCTTGAGTTCGATTCACTGTGAAATGGTCGTGGTTACTCCATTGTTGATGAGATCAGTTTATGATTTCATGTACGAATATTCAACAATCTCTACAAAACCTTTATACCTACAAAATCAAATATAAAATAGTTTGCATTAATTTCTTCCAATGTATATATGGGCGTGTTTTTTTTGTATTCTCGATAGCCGATAAACTTGACCTGTGTTACTGTTTGTTTGCTTATTAGATGATTACATGTATGTATACACTATCTGCTAACCTTTGTACATAACTTACACACATATGTACAGATATATGTGTATGCATACTGCTGACCTGATGTATATACGCTGCTTTTTATCGTTAACATCATTTTACTAATTATAAATATGTATTTTTATGTAGTTGTAGTGAGAATACATTTACAATATGAGTCATTATGCTCCTACATCATCGGTGCCACCCCGTAGTAGCACATCTGGCCGTTGTGTTTATTTATTCATTTATTTTCATCGTACATATGTAAACATGTATGTGTGTGTGTGTTGTATCTGCACACCCACCCACACGCACACACAGACACATGCACATGTTACTGTAAATCTAATAGTAAATGAGAATACACTGATTTATGTATTCCCCTGATGGAATCTGATGATCTATCTCTCATTCATTCGTTAGCTGTCTGTTTTTGGTTTTTGTAATAGATAATGAGAGAAGAAACAATGAAATTTATAGGGGTACATATTGTTTCTTAGTTTTATTTTTTTGACCCCTACTTTCGAAATGGGAAAAAAATGAAATGTAAACAACAAGTGTAGTTTTTATTTCTTTTTCAATTACATTTTGCCTAACTACAACCCCAGATATTACACACATTTGTATATAAAGAGAAATGTGGGTTTTGTATTTTATTTCTCCCCACTCATTAACTGTTCATCAACATTTTTACAGATGTATGATTCATAATCATCGTTACTTTATTATTATTATTATTATTATTATTATTATTATTATTATTATTATTATTATTATTATTATTACTGAGGAATGGTGTGAAATGGTATCTGAACTTGCCTAATTTACAAAATGATGATGAATTTGAAAATTTTTCATCATTTTTGGGATGGACTTTGATGATGCACTAAAGTACTATTCAAAACTAGGTTATATCGTAGAATTTTAGCTATTAAATTGTTGCTTAGATCCACTGCTTTACTTACTTCAGTTTTGGCAACTGAATAGTCTTCATACCTGGGATATGACTCGAACCTGGCTATATAAATTTGTATCCGAGAAATGGGTTAATAATACAATCCTTTGACTTTAATCTTGGGACTCTTACAGTGTGTACTCACAACTCCACTTAAGGGATCGAACAAAAATTTATCTTCAAGCTTCATAACGAAAGAGTTACTTTTAGATCATTGAGTTGAAATCTGTATTCAAATGCTTGTCAATTCATGATATATTAATACATGACCATCATTCTCACCGATGATAATTGCCTCTTACAACACGGACATGGTTGAATTCTACTGACAACGATTTCTATTTGGAACTTTAGAAACTCTTGTTGAGAAATGGCGAACAGATGAAAATAACTTTTAGCCTCTTTCTTCTCTCTCTCTCTCTCTCTCTCTCTCTCTCTCTCGACATGAATGAATAAATACCCTAAATCAACTTTGCCTACAGTCGCATTATAAGTAGTTACTAATTTTCGACCATTTGTTAACTTACTCGACAAATGATTATTATTATTATATCTTATCATTGTAAACGACTTGTTAGTATTTGCGATGGTATATGCACATTCAGATGTTGTAGTAGCCTGAATAAAAATAGTTCTATCTGTTGAATTCATCGCCCGCCCTACACACGTATAGACACTAGCTTTCTGTTTCTGTTCTTTTCTTTCTCATTCAGTATTTTTCCTATTTAAATATTCACAAAACGCATTTCATTATTCTACATGTTATCAACTCATTGAAATGCATTTAAGAATTCTCTTTAACTGGAAGATAATTTAGAAGAGGAAAAAAATAAGTTGATGACCATGTACATACATTTTTAATCATGAAAGCAATAGAAAACAGTTGATAATAACACAAACATAAGATAATGACATTTTCATGAATGATCTTTGAAGTTGATAACGTTAGATTTTAATTTTGTTACACTTCACACAGTTGGATTAGTTTGTCAATCATACAAAAAGTAGAACCTGGCACATGTGTGCATTAGTCCAAGTTTCCTTTATAAATTAGAACGGCGAAATATAATTAACCCAAAATAAATCCCATAGTAGTAAGGCTAATAATAGTGTCGCTAGTAGTAGTACAAATGCTTAAGTATATATAGAGAGAGACTTCGAGATTTACGCTCTTAAGGGAAACAAAAAGTTAACTCCATAGGCCATAGCGAAATATTCTGAATCATGTCACACAAAGTCTTTAACGATTGGTTACAATAATCACATGTATCTCAGTCAGGTAGTTTATACTCAATAAAATGGCTCCGTTCTATTGACAATGATCTCACGGACTGTTGCCACATTTTAGTTTGAAGGCCTCTAACTTTCTTTCAACCTACTCCTACGTCATACAACATCTCCTGTCAAGGTAAGCGGTGGTTGCGCATATTTAACACTTTTCTCAACCGCTTCAACATATGAAGAATCACTATCTCAACGATTGATTCGCCATATTTATTTAGTACTCTATTCTTAACCTTGGGATCGGTCATTCGGTTTTCTCAAAATGTATATGTGATACTTCGAATACATCTATTATTGAATACTAGTACTTACGACCCCCAAATGCCCTGGTATGACCGAGAGTGGGGTGGACCCGCCCTCCCTCTCGAAATGCTCTCACACGGCCACGCGTATACAGCCTCTGCCAGGGAAGCCCTACTCACTGCCTTCTCGCACCACGGGTGTTGTTTACGAAAATGAGAAGACGAAAAGCGAATGTCCGGCGCTTTAACCGGATTCTAAACCAATGGTGCACATGGGCTCCAGTATCCTGAGGGAACAAATGGCGTATGAACCAATCGTTGGTCACCGGCTACCATAGGACTGCTCCTCACGATGCTCCACTGCCTTGTGGATCAGACCTTCGGGTCAAAGGCTTGGGGTGTCGCCTCCCAAGAAAACCACGTGGTTCGGTCTGGGCGCCCGGACAGTATCACACACAAATATGGTGTGGCGCATATATATTTGGTGCGTCCTTGTACCAATATTTATGTGTTCAAATAAATAATAATAATAACTAGTACTTAGGAATATACTCTATTTTAGTAGTTGGATGTTCCCAACATATGATTTAATCTCACGTAATCGTTGTGTATTACTTTTTCTTACATTTCTCTCAAATGTTTGGTTGTTTTTTTTCTTTCGATTTACAATTTTCAGTCATTTCAACATGTTCCTGTTGAGTTATATTTGATTCAATCAGAAATATGGACTTTAAAAGATTTAATTCAATCAAATGTTAGCATTAAAACAACATTGAATAATTTTGCTCATTTCATTATCAATCGTCGTAGAAAGTATCATTCATCGATGTTTGCCAAAAATAATGTTGTAAATAAAAGTGATGTAGTAATAATGAATCCTTCCATTGGAAATGATACATTTGGGGTAAATGTTAATTTATTTCTTCTTTAAAATTGGAAATTTTTGTTTAGATTTTACTGCAAATAGAGACTGGTCGATTGTAATCCTAAACGTCAGTTGTCAGATTCGAATAAACAATATAAAATGAATTTAAACTTCATCCGATTGCACAAGCTAGTAGCTATCAGGACTCAGTAGATAAGTGAGTAACTTGATGGTGTTCGAGTCTCAGAGTGAACATCAACTCTGGGGTGCAGGTACATCCAGCTGACGAGTACCAAATTGGATGGGATGCGCGTTCTGGATTCCTCTGCTAGCCACCATCCATCTTTGCTTATAATGCTTGTGACTTAAGGGAATATCGAGGCAATCCTCACATAATGCACATATGATAATAAGAGACTGACCAATTGCAGTTCTAAACATCAATGGGGAGATTCAAACGACCAATACATAATGAATTTAAAATGTTATATTAGTTTTATATCACGGACTAGTTTTAGTTGGAAAAACCTTTAAACTCAGAAAACCTTGGATTGGTTTTTCGTTATAATACAAGAATTCTTAACAATATGCAACTATAACTTTATCTAAGATTCAACGAAATACCTTCAGACTTTACAACATTCTCTTAACCATTAGAAAAATGATTTTAGCTGAAAATCTATTGAAAATAACAAAACTGTTGGACAATCATTTCTGAGTAAAAAGCGATTATTTTTAAAGGCATAATATTTTAACTACCAATACTGCTCTGGTATTTGCTTTCACATTTTCATCTCTTTGGGTAACTTGAATTGATGTATACATGTGCCACGATTTACGTTGAGTTTGACTGATGACTAAAGTGATAATGTGATATAATTGCCATACAACTAATCAACGGCACACTTGATTGTTGATCAAATTTTCCCTGTTGATAGCTTAAATCAATATAGACTGTGCGCTGTTCGAAACTGTAACTTACTGGTTGAAGCTAAATTCTTGAACCATTAACTCATCTGTTCAGTCGACCAGTTCTGGAATGAATCAATCAGCCTATTGATAGGATCAAGCGATGGTTATATTATATATACTGAAATTGAAAAGTCTCAACAGTAACATATTTTGACCTAGTTATCTAAATGTTTCATACTCTCTGCGAGATACTTGAAAGATGGCCTTGAATCCAGTCATTAGTAAAATCTAAGTTTAGTATCAAACACCCGATCAATCCTATCTTCTGTTCACTGATTTCAAATCATTCATCTCAGACCATTTTCAAGACTTAATGAATCTATTTATTTAAACGCATAAACATTGGTACGAGGTGGCAGTAAATATATGTGCTCCGAACTTCGTCAATCAATTTGTCCGGGTGCCCAGACCGAAGAAGGTGGTTTTCTTAAGAGACCACTGCCTGATCTACAAGTCTAATCCACAAATCAGTGGAGCACCGTTAGGAGATACAGTCCCATGATATTCGGTAACCAACATTAGGTTCAAACGCCATTTGTTTATTCAGGATCCTCAAGTACATGTGCACCATTGGTTTGGAATCAGGGTTTTCCAACTCCCCTAGGTGGATCATCTATATCCATTAACCCGGTTAAAGCGCCAGACATTTGCTTTTTGTCCTGTCAGTTTTGTAAACAACACCCCGCCGCGGGAAAGTAGTGATCAGGACTTCCCTGGTACTGACTGTGTATACGTGGTCATGTGAGGGCATTTGGAGAGGGAGAGATGAATCTCCTCGCCCTCAGTTGTACCAGAGAATTTGGGGGCAAATTAGTGAGACTTCTCGACTTAGTTTAACTCAGTTCCTCAGCGTTAATAAATGAGTAATCGAATCCGATTAATACAAAATGTACAGAGGAATAAGGAAGCATATTTAGTGTAATCAAAATCAATAGTACACGATACTAACACAATCAGACTCATTTTGATTTTGATTGAACTAATCATTCTGCTTTCTACCTCTATTCTATTTAAACTTATGTTAATGTAATTTAGTTGTTTACGTATCACCTTTGAAGAAGGAATCAGAAATTCTAATTTCTACTCATTGTGGGATATCACAAATGTTTATGTATCTCATTACTTATATTAATAATGATCTAACCAATAATCAATTTCAACAGTTGAAATCATGAGTCAATTGAAGCTAGACCACCATGGAAAACCTAGAAGCACTGGTCGGCCTTTTCGTCCTAATATGGGACTGCTCAACAGTGCGCATCCAAGATCCCTCCCCTCCCCGCGAGATTCGAACCCAGGACCTATCAGATTCATGATTTCAACTCTTGAAATTACTAAAATCTCCACAAAACCCCTTCTGATAATCATCAATTTGTTTGTAATGAACAAGTCAAATTTTGATAATGTGACTTCAGAATAAAAATGTTCACTCTTGTTTATTAATTTTTCCCGATATTTTGTTTTAGCGTCATCGTATTCATCGAAGATCAGTTAATACTGATAATGATGTTCTTCGTAAAATGTCTTCATCCACCTCATCGTCATCTTTAAATAATCCATCTTTGTATACAAAACATTTGATGTGCAGTTGTTACTCACTGGGAGACGATTTACTGATCCAGTAGAATATATAGCCATACCAGATAGTATATGTACACCAAGAGCTATAGGAATAATTCAAGTGAGTAGTAATATTAGTAGTATTGAATGTTTTTTTCTTTACCCCTTTGTCATATGTTCCTGTTTTCATATCATTGGCAACAGTTTAGTGTTTAAAAATACTTATACGATTAAACAAAATACATAGAGTAAAATCTAGGAGTCACACTTCATCCTGTATAAGACTCGTCAACTGGATATATCTGTGTCTCATATTTAATCAAAATAAAGCCGTAACAATTATAATCAGAACGATTTGGCATTTTTAAGTAGGTTTCGAAAAGATAGAATGAAAAATTATGTTTAAAAGAATACTAGATTACTAGACCTAGATTAAGTTGCATGTTGAATACACCCTCACCCATGTGAGAGATGTTAATCCGTGACAACCAACATTACCAACTACTGATCGTTGCGCTGACACAAACTAAGATACTTTTTATCTACCAACATGGCTAAAACAAACAGTCAATGATTGGGACGCTATTATTTTCTTTCTAATTTACTCCAACGTTGGTTAAATTGGTTGGACTGGGTAGGCGGAGATGTTCTAACCATCTCAGTCGATGAATACTTGTATGTAACCTCAACACTGCTCACTCGACCATACTAGTTTACGCAAAAATTGCTTCGAAGACACCTATAATGAGAAACTTTTTATCTACCCAAGTTTTATATTTTCATTACCCATGTATCACAGTTATAAGATAATACAGAATGAACTGTTAAATAGTATAACTGCCTTAAGTTTAGGCGAGTAACATTTGACCTACGCTGAACGTGATACAAGTTGGTAAATAACAAGTGTAATGAACAATCTGCATACCTAGCTCCAATTGAGCAGGTAAAGTGATCTATTTATATTGAATTAGCCATTTATGGCAGCTTACTTTATTCAATAATTATCTCCATCTGATTACTTCTTGTCCATTACATACATATACAGGAGTATGAAATCTCCTCTCTCTCTTTCTTTCTCTCATACACATATCATACATAAGTGCATTGCTTCATGTCAATTTATCACATTCTACAACTACTGGCCATTTTCCATGGGTAATCACTTTTAGATAATCATGATTTTATAATAATTTCTATCATGTCTACTACTATTTTATTTTCTTGTTTAAAACCTTTCTTTCTTTGTTTTCTGTTGAGACAATCTTTTCCTATTATTATTATTATTATTATTATTATTATTATTATTATTATTATTATTATTATTATTATTACGCAATATATCTGTACTACTTAGGCTTCTGTTCATATGTGGGTGGGTTGGTTAGTAAGTAGGCAGGTGCCTTACTGCCGCCTCGGATTAACTATTTATCATTATTATTATGACTATTTTCCTCGTTACTTGTCTACTTGTTTTTTTCTTTTCAATTCTTTCTTTTGAAATATATATGTATGTAGGTGTGTGTGTGTGTGTGTGTGTGTGTGTGTAGGTATACATCATTTATCATGAATGTTCATATCACAACATTAATCTGTCAATGTATGTTTAATGTTCAATAACTATTTAAATTGTCAAGTTAATGAATAATCTAGGCGGGCAAATGTATAAATCATCCTGTATCTCTGCGTATATATGAATGGATACGTACCTGTTCATGGCCGTTTTTTGTGGATGTATTAATATACTGCATGTATGTCTGATGTATTTTTTTTCCTTAGAAATAAATTATTATCTATCTATCCATTACCTATTCTATTTAACGACCTATTCTTCATGAAATTATTACCAATATGAGTGTGTTGACGTTACGAAAATTAGGGTTTTTCCTTTAAAAAGAAATTCAGTATCCCCATGTTAATAATGATTACAATAGATTATTATGAATTTGTGAGGATTATCTTACAATATCTAATAGAAAAAAGCCATTAAAGGTAATTCAGTTCTCTTGGTCTTTTATAACTTACTTCAACGGCTGACCTTAGTTAGATAATGATTGGAAACTAGAAGACACTCGACAACCATTTCGTCCTAGTATAAGACTACTCGGCAATGTGCATCCACAATCTTGTCAGGACCTTTCGGTTTTTCGAGCGAACACTTAACCTTTGAAGTACAGAGTTGTCATCCAGTGGTCTACATGCATAACTTCAATCAACTATTTTCTAATATCTTGGTTGGTATCTGCCTCGTACCCGACATGATTGGACGCGACTGGTCACGGCTGCTGATTCTGGAAATTACCTCTTCATCATATGATTATTATAAGCATAAATTGTTTATGGAGATCAGTTTGACTTAGAATCGTTGGTGACCGGATACTGACTCCCTGACCGAAAGGTCGACCTCACTGCATAACTTGAAGGCTCTGACTTTAGTCCTGAGGAGAGTTATGGATGTACACTTTTGATGAGTCCGATACTAGGCCTAAACGGTTTCCTTGTTTCTATTGATTGTTTTACTAAAGTTAGCCTCTAACGTAAACAAGTAGATTCTTTAATCTCCACAAATTGTTAAATAATTAACCATTCAAATTAATGAAGAATTATAGTTTAGATTAAAATTTTGATTGTTTAAGTGTCGATTTTAAGTCATGCTTTTGGAACAAAGAAAGTGATAATGTTATATTTCTCTGTTCAAACCAAAGTAGGAGAGACGGGGTTAGTTGAATTTAAAACAACTTCTTGTATCTACATTTATTAGGAAATACGTTTTTACTACTACTGGCAGTGGAATTCACAGTGCATGTTTAAACTTATTTGGTACTAGTTAACCAGATTTATTTACAACTCCAGTGATTAACGTTTACATTGAGACCCAAACTTAGTATCTTTCTCTTTAACAAAGTGAAAGGTTATCTGGACTTAATAGTTTGTGTTAGAATCAGTTGGTAAGTCCGAAATATATTAAACAATTAGTCTTATATTCCACGAATGACCACATGCCAAGTGATTCATAAGATACTTGATCAAGGTAGTCCTCTCAGTATGCATGGATGGTAGTATAGATAACGAGAGGAAATTACAAACATTTATTAAAATGTGGTCTACGAACAATGTTGGGCAAAATGTATTAAGATTGTGCAACCAAAATGAAAATAATAATTTCTTACATCTATTCAAATAAAAGCGGTCTGTTATTATAAACAGACAGGGATGGTGGGTAGCAGTGAAATCCAAGTTGCTCATTTCGTCCTATTTGGGACTCGTCAACTAAGCCTTAAATAAGAATTTCCATAAGTTCTTTAGACATTGACGTTGAATTCGGCTCGTTAGTTTTGTGAATTGTTACGCTACTGTTCTAACAGATATTATTATACGAAATTGGTTGATTAGATTGTGAATTTTCATTCGATTGACTGCTTGGTACATGTATTACATGTTTCATTCACTGCTTTTCTCGATGCACAGTGTTAGATAATGTAGGAATAGGTTAGAAGAAAAGTAAGAGTGGTCAAAAATGAAAAAAATACATCATCCCAGGAAGTTATTAACTACTTAGTTGAGCATTATTGGTAGGTGCAGACTGCTTGGTAGGAGTTCCCACTATTGACCTGAACAGTACCTGGGAATGTCCAGTGATATAATTTAGAATCAGTTGCAATGGCGTAGATACATTCACTCTTCGTCTAACTTTGTGCGCGGATTGTCAAAATTATTTTGTACTTTTAATTCATCCCCTTTTGTTGAATCATATCCTCTCTCTCTCTCTCTAATCTTCTCTGTTATCACCGATACTATTTTGCTATTCAAGTTGTTAATTTCATCCCACATTGATGTTTTGGTTTGGCAACCTAGGCCGATGCATCGTACTCTATGAGAATAGGTCGTAGGTTGAAATCTTTTCTTTACACTATCGTTAGTTTAGACAGGCAAATAATATCACCTACTCTAATACAAAATAAAATGGAGTTACAAGTTGGATATATTAGTGTGTATTTGTTAAACTTGCTTTCACATTAAGTGTTTTGGTTTAATAAATACATAAATCATGCACGATTTTGTATTTTTAATAATAATAATAGTCGTTAGAACATGTACTTATATATATTTACATGATATTCTTGATGTTCACACAGTCCTCGATACTCGTCAGTGTGCGGTTGTATTTAGTACAAATCCTATTAATACAGGTCATCAGTTTAATTCACCCTTGTGAGTCACTACAAAGTTCCTGCGTATGCATGTATGTATGTATGTGTGTGTGAACGTATTGATGAATCTATCCATTCGTTTATTTATATAATTGTAAAATTCCGCAACTGATTTAATGAGCTGTTCGTCCATTCATCCTATTTTACGACGCCATTCTAACTACTTTGTTTTATTGTAATTATATCTGTGCACTAGTCTTTTTCATTATATAACCTTGACCTAGTTGTTTATTCTTTCTATCTTTACAAGTGCAATGGTAAAGCCGACACTTTACATTAATAAACAAAACACACGGAGTAACCCCCCTGGGTCAGTAGTCCATTTACATTTGGTTAAATGTTCACTGTTCAAATTAATGAATTATGAATAATAATGAAAATTGTCTTGTAATGATTGAGTATGTTTGTATTTGTCTACGTGTGTAATAAAAGTTAGATTTATTTCTTCATTTTAGCGCATAGATTGTCGTGTGTGTGTGTGTGTGCGTGAGAGAGAGTGATAGATTACGAACAATAAATCTTTCGAACGGTGAGTACACTGAGAAACCAAACTATATTACCCTATAGTTGTGAAACATGTAATATGAGACTAGGAGACTTGCGTAAACTGCTCGTTTTTAGACGATTGGTGTCTTGGTAACATTGTTCGGATACCAACCGAACAACAGAATAAACAGCACCGAGAATGGGCATAAGGTGCTAGACAAAAATGGCAAACTGTTTGTGATTCTTTCTCAACTGAGGAAGTTGGAATATGTATCGTTACATATGATTAATCACAGCTGGTGCAAGCGTAAATTGGGAGAATCGAAACCGAACATGTTATCAGTTCATGAAATCATTGACTGTTGGTCTGAATTTTGTTGTTAGGCGAAGAATACCTGATTTTAGTCGGCGTGAATAATTGCGATCAATGGTTTGTGACGTTAGTTGACATGGGTCAGAATTCGTCACAATGATGATAGTGCGCTCACTTTATATCTTATGCTGGTATTCCTTCGTATATACCTTTACACTCTGTCCTTTTTAACCTTTATTCTCAGTCCATAGTCTTTTCATTATCACTGCTACTAAATTATTTCGTTCTCTTCTGCTATCCATAATGTTAATCTCATATCTATGCCAGGCACTTCATTCAAAACTGACTGACAGACCTCAGCAGTACATATACACACTCCTATCAGGGTCAAATTTAACAATCTTCACAACATCTTATGATAACGATTATTATTTATTCATTAATTAATAACTTCACATATTAATTCCAAGAGTTCTAGTGAAAAACGATGATTTGAAGATTCTCGATTCAATCCGCAGTGATTGCACATTGCTATAGAATCCTATAGATAACACAACGAAAAAGCTGTCCAATATTTAGCGGTTATCAAGGTTTTTAAAAAAAACTTGAATTGGTTCGTGGTATAAACTATGAAATAAAATAAAAGCTTATTTGTTTTGTCTAGTCCTTTGCTCCTACCTTGTGTATTCTTATTTCGTCAGGTTAACAATACCGATATGGATTATCATGTATCCAGATTGATCTCTTTGGCTATTGCGGAAATTCTTGGCATTAAATCATTTCCATGTCCTCCATTGTACAGGTAACTCCCAGTGTTTAGTATATCTGCATTTCCATTGTTCTAAACGTACCTATAAGTTTAAGTCCTATGTTTTAATCGGAGATTTGTTATAAATGATGATTGTTTTTTTTTCTTAGAAAAACCAGACGTTTGAACAAACTTCTTTCAGTTTGTATAGTATATAATCCTTCTCAGCTTTTGGTCACATGTCAATAACTTTCGAGTCATTATTTCACACCATTCTGTCACTCTTAATGTGTTGCTAGAATTATGTGTATAATCGATTTTATCAAACGCCAACTAATCGCCAATTTTCTGAATAGTAGATTGGCAATCGGTAATCACAAGAGCTTCGTCTTTTATATTTTCACAGGAGCCTGACAGCCGTCTATAAATGAAAGTTTTGGCAGTTCAGGTCGCGTGTTTACTAAACAGATTATGTATGATCAACTTTCATTCGAGAACTGTGTGTATGTGTGTGACTCAAAATATTTCTTGCCATTAATTTGTATGGTTTATTAATCCTTTATAATAAAAGATCTGTTCAGGTGCACCTTGCTGTTGACTATCATATAGCACGAAACTTAGGTTCACTGTTTTCTGTCTACTACCCCCGACCATCTAACACAGTGCACGCGATCTGGAGTCATTTACACTAGTGATTATTTTCAAATCTAATCGACAGGATTCATTTGGAACCAGACAGGACCAGACAAAAACAACATTAATCATTACTTGGTGATTAATCACTTGTAAATATCCCAATCCTAAAGATCACTTGTGGTACTAATCACTCGATAGTGATAATGTCTTAAATAGTAAAGCTTGATCGAATCAGCCGAGGAGAATCTGTTTTCCCAAGATTACATATTCACTTTGTTTATGAGCGCTAATTAGCACGAAACTGAGATCATCCACGTTTCCTGCTGGCTATCTTCCATTCCCATAAATGCTTTATTCCAGTCCCATTTAAGTTGTCAGTATACAACGTAACTGAGAAATGTCAGCTTTAAAGATTTCTTTTAATTTAAAATGACTTATTTCTTAAACAAAAAAGGACAAGATCTGTAATGATTAACAATTTATTTAGAAAACAGCTTCTAAATAATCCGTTGAATATCTTAACATCTTTTCCTTTCCCTCTCGTACTGTTTATTTCATTTCTAGTTGTTATTCATTCGATCTGTTTTCCGACGGTGATAATTCCCGTCTTCGACTTGCTTTATCATCTGGTATGGCTGATTGTTTACTACAAAATATTGCTGTAACAAAGGTTTGTTTTTGTTGCTTCCCTGTTGTGTTCTGTCATTTAATTATTTAATTAGTTTCATTGTATATTTTGTTGGATTAATTTTATTCAAAATTAACGATAGTTTACATTACCATCGGAACCCAATTAAATATCAATTGAAGACCATTAGGTAGGACTGTAAATGTATTTTTCATTCTAATTTGATGAAACCTTTAAACATTGCACGTACTTGTTTTAACTAGACATTGACCCCATGGATTTCAGGATCTACGGTGGGTACGTTACTTGTCGTTGAATTTATAGATTGGTGTACACTATTTTGGAGTCTTAAACAAGAGTGTCTGATATGCTCACTGGCTTTTATCGAAATTCCGACTGGTCTTGATCCACCATGTAAACTGTCGTCAAAGTAGACAAAAAATCCGCAAATCAAAAATCTGACTTATTTTCTGTATTCATCAGTATTAAGTATTAGAATCTTAATCTTGTAATTTTTAGAAAATAAAATGTGGAGAATAGATTGGCATTAGAAATATAAATCACTAGGTCCTGACTCTGTGATGTAATGGTTAAACGCTCGCTGCGAGACCTAAGTTGAATCCTCGTCGGGGTTGTAGCTGCTTACCACTGAAGAACCTTATACTGAGGCGAAACAACTGTTCGGAGTTTGCTTGTTTTTAATAGTTTGCTAAGGCCAGTTGATCACGTGAACTATGAAATTTAACAATTTCTAAGATCCTGTTGCACCAAAAATAAGACAATTGTTCGTTCAGTGTTCAGCAATTAACGTCAACCATAATAAATCCCACTTTAGTAATAATAATAATAAATGACTTGTAAGGATCTGATCTGGTTTTAGTTTGAACGTATAATAGCTAGATTATCCCGATGTTGATAGTTTGCACTAAATTTTGATCAGTGATCCTTCTAACTGACAAAGAGCGCACCATGATTTTCTCAGCAAGCTATCTTCCGTCTAATCCATAAAAATTAGCTGAACTTATATTTTCCTAAACCTAATTGTCAGCAACCGTTAAAGGATATGCAATGACTAGCGTATTTTTTTTGTATTCATCTATGTGCTTTTTAAAGATTTGTTTACTTTCAAAACACTTTTTCTTCATTAAGTAACAACAGTCGAAAGGAAACAATAACGACCTAAGTGATTGACACTCGATATTAGTTGTTTTTTGTCCAAATTCGTTTTATCTTATCCGTACACCACCATTGGAGCTAATCCGTGTCGGGTAGATACGGGTGTCTACCTCAGTACACTGGAAGATGGTCGCGCAATTTCGTGGATTGGTTGAGATTAGACATTAACACCACTGGATGCCGGCTCAGTGGTCTAGTTGGTCAAGTGCCTGTCGCGAATTATAGGTCCTGGGTTCGAATGTCGTGGGGTGCGGGATCGTGGATGCTCACTGATGAGGAGTCCCATACTAGGACGAAACGGCCGTCCAGTGCTTACAGGTTTTCTATGGTGGTCTAGCTTCAATTGACTCATGATTTCAATCAAAAACTTAACGATCTCCCCAGCCCCTAAACTTACAATTTTATGATTGGTCAAACTTGTGACTTTCATATCTCAATGAGTTGTAGTTAATCTACACAATATGATGACATAATCATCTCCTTTTAATAATGAAATGTGATAAATGTCACAGAAGAAAAAATGTGCGAGAATATGAAACCATAAGAATCAATGAGAAACTTCCCTTTCAGTCTACTTTTCTTTATGCACTGCTTAACAATCGACATACTTTGTTTTTAAAAAAATATTAGAAGGGTTCAATTCTCGCCGTTGTTAGTTTCAATGAAGCATGATAATTAACTGTGTTGTACTTGAATGAATGAATGAATGAATAGCTGATTTTTGCGTCATTTTTCTAGTATTTGGAAAAAAAAAGGTGAATTCTTCTGTTTACAGATAGATCTCTGTGTGTTTATGTATGCATTCAATGATTTATTATCACTATACCTATATAGTAAGTACTTGCATTAACTTAATGTGTACATCTCAATCACTATGTACAAATTTTCTCATAGGGAGGAGGGAGAGTTAAGTGAATCTATGCTTGTCTAATTTTTTTTCTTTTAGACAATTAAAATTTTTAATTAGTTGATCTATGAATTGCATAGTTGTAGCCTTAAGCCAATAATCTTTTGCAGTCTAGTTTTGCTTAATGTACTACTTGAGTACATTTATTATTATTATTATTATTAATATTGACACATATGTAAAAGTGATTCCACATACACACACACACACACACTTCCTTCTAATTATGGGTAATGATTTTTCACTCCATTTTCTCTTGTTCTGTTTGTTTGTTTGTATTTTTGGTTTGTATTTTCCTATGGGATTGGAAATTTATTTAATTTTTATTGGTTTTATGTCAACTAACTCTATTATACACCAACTGAATTGTCGTTGTAAATCACACCTTATGCAGATTAATACTATTAGGTTAAAACATAGATTGCTTAAAGCATATATTATACATGACAATTTATTTAGAGGTATGTATTACAAAATATGGTATTGTTAATTACTAAGATCATGACCTTTTGGTTCATCATTATTTCTTCCAGTTTTTTATACCTAGAACAACGGTATATTGTTGATACTCACAATACTTATTATTGTAACATGATTACTCCTCTTTCCTACCTTCAATCTATCTTGAAGTTTTACTCTTTTTTAAAAAAAAAACTTATTCTTATTGTCTCAATGTGAACATCAATATCCAGGGATCTGGATGTATCCAACTGATGAGTCCCAATTAGAACGAAACATACATCTCATATTCTATTACTGGTCAAAATTAATCAATCAATACGATTCGATTTTTAGCTGCAGTTTTTCTATATGAATTTGACATGTATTACTCTATTGTCCAAATGTAAAAGTAAACGTGAAAAAGGTATTCAAATTCATAGCACACTCCACTACAATTGAGATTGAAGCCATTTTTCTTTATTAAGTTTGTAGCTTAATAAAAGGAAAGGCGAAAATTTCCTTTATCACTTTCGTTTCAAGTTGAATAGGTCGGAAATCATTTCTATTACTATTATACATGATTCGATATGGCATTGAATATTTGTACGTGCTCTAATATTGAGTATGCTACTGTATCTGTTTCTTTGTGATGTTATTCCTTGACTCATTATTTATTGCTTGTGAAGATTTTGATGACTACTCGATGCAATTGAAATTAACATTGTTTATGAAATTAGTCGTTATAAAGCCGTCCTTTGTTCTCTGAAATGTGTTTTCAAAAAAAAACTTAATGTATTTGTTAACAACTTCATCGGAAAGGATTAGATCATCAGTACCATCTTAATTGTTTTCTCTTTTCTTACAAATTTTATATATCATTCAAATAAGTTATTTCGTTTCCTCTTCCTTTTCTTCACCTTGGTTTTCAGGATTCTAAATCTTTTATCGATACCTGTGGTAATGGTCAAATTGATCGTGGTGAAGAATGTGATCCTGTTGTTCGTCGAAGTTTAAGCTATTCTTCAAACTTTACTAATCCAATGTCTTGTTGTAATTTGGATACATGTTTAGCTTCTGTCTGGGCTATATGTACACATGGTCCATGTTGTCATCAATGTCGTTTAAAACAAAAAGGTAGTGTATGTCGTCCAGCGTTTGATCAATGTGATCTACCGGAATTTTGTACTGGTACCCATGTAAGTTGGATTGTGTTTCTTCTCTTATTAGTTTTATTTATGTGTGTCCATTAGCAGAATCTGGAAAGGCGGGTGGTGACTAATATTACATTTAGTGTTGTGTAGTCAACCTCTTTCTGATTTGGAACACTAAACATTGATTTGTAATAGCATCCCTATTTTGTTCATAGCATTAGTCAAAGCCTTTATACTGGCGTCTTAGTAACTAGTGTCATGCTGTTTAATCCCGTCTTGTTCTCCTGACTACGTTCTATCAATAAAATCACTAGAATAAGCACCTTGACATTTCAGTACAATTTTGTATACTAGATAGGTTAAAAGCTATTGGTAAAAAGCGTTACTTGATCCTCTGTTTTTCGATGCTAGTTGATCCTTGTCTCTGTATTCATTACAAGTGCGAATTGATCATAAAATATCTCTTTACTTGATGACTACCAGTTTCTTCGCTAGGTTAATCACGAAGTTTACTGGTTAATACAGTTCAGTTAAACGGTTGGTGGCTTGTCTCGGTCGATATCTACTCATACGCTAGTTATCAATTTGCGCCGTGATACATGATGGCTGGTAGTATGTAACATATATCCCTAACCATCTGAGTTGATGGAGATCCACATTTATTAACTGATTTCCCATTTTTATGTAGTATCCTGCATCTTATTTCAACATTAATCACTTATTTGTCCCACCATACTTCAGTGACACATAATCAAACATTGATAACCTACATACATCCCGTACTTTAAAATTGCATGTTTCAATACCATAAAATTAAACATAATGGACTGTTGTACAGCGTACTTTCCTCTTCCGTTCATATGCAAATGAGCATTTTACCCATTAAAATGCTGTTACATATTCAGTATATAACGAATAGCTTTTTAGACTACAGATAAACCTGATTAACTGACACCATTAGGATAAAATCTAACTTGTCAGCTACAAATTTATCATGATTGTAGAAACCTGAAGTTTATGTTGATGATGTTGTTCAGAAGAACGATGAAGCTCCACGACCAAACCATCCAGCTCAGAGAACAAAACTCCATCAAAGCTGAACTATTAAGACTGAGTAATAAAACCAATATTATATTATAATCGGATTTCTTCTATGATGGAAGAATAACAAAATAGGGAATTTTTTTTTGCTAGAATACTATGGGATCAATTCTGTATAATGCTCTACATAATTGTTATTATTTGTAATATGTGTTTATTTATTTCAGTAACTTTTGATATTTACGAATTATATAATCTGAATTAAGTGTTATCCCTAGCCAGTTAACTTAGAAGGCAGTTAATTAAGTAATTACTAGTCTTATTTTAATAATATCAGTGAGTATTTAAGAGTATTTTACATACTAACTGGTTGAAGTTCATTTTTTAGAAGCTCTAAAGTTCGAATACTCTGTGAGCTTATTCAATGTGTTGAAGTCATTTAAAAGGTCTGTATGTTCAATAAATAAGGTAGTTTGTAGTTTCCAAATGACAAGAAACGTATATAGGTAGAAGTTTTGATGTATGTTCAATCTACAATGTTGTGTTTCGACTAATCTAATGTGATTTCGGAAATTATAATAAGGTGATTTTGTGAAACTCATTATTGGATCTAAAGAGTGTAGTAACTTGTGTACCAGTTCGAAATGAAACATAAAATTATGCTTAGAAATCCTTTTCCAAAGAGGTTCTATTCCTAGTGTATCACTTCATGTGCAGTAATTCTAGACACAATCTATTCGTTGAAGTCTGGTTTATCAAAATATCTCTGTATTCCTTCGAGTTAAGACTGATTTGTATTCTAAATGTTTAAAAAATTATCCTGTTGAGAAGTAAAAGTGTTATTGTTATAGTTACTGATCATCACAATGGACGTAAGGAATTATATGATCATAATGAAAATAACAAATGACTACATAATTATCAGAATGGGGATATGTGGAGATTGTAGCAATTTTGATAGTTGATTTCATGAGTTAATCTAAGCTAGACCACCATCATAAACCTGGAGATAGTGGACGGCCGTTTCATCCTAGTATAGGTCTAGAGGTTAGGCTTCGCGCGCGAGACCGGAGCTCCTGGGTTTGAGTCCCGCATGTGGGATCATGAGTGCTCACTTCTGAGGGGTCCCATACTAAGACGAAACGACCGTTCAATGCTTCCAGGTTTCCGATGGTAGTCTAGTTTAGATTGACTCATGAATTCAACTATTAAGATTATATAATTGACAGACACAGTCATGATGAAAATCAGATTTATAAGTGGCCAGCATCAATAAGGTAACAAAAAAATATTTGATTATAACTTATCGCGCTTTCCTTTTGTATACACTAAATAGATAAGGTCGGTAATATTTGTTAGCAAATTAGCCTTTGTAAATCAAGTTAGTAGTAATGATAGTAATAATACACTTCTCGAGGCAGGGGTATTATTTTTGAAATTAAGAGGAAGAAAAGCGAACATCCGACATGCAAACTGGATTAGTGGGCGCGGAGCATCCACCTAGGTGAGTTGGAAAACCTTGACTCCTAACCAATGGTGCTCACAGGCTTCAGGAACCTCATAGAAAAAGTCGCATATTGACCTATTGTTGGTCATCGGCTACTAACATGGGACCGCACCTCCTAACGTTGCTCCTCTACCTTGTGGATTAGACTTGTAGGTCAAAGGCTCCCTAAGAAAATCATCCGCTTTGGTTTTAGCTTAAGGACAGTATCCCAGCTTACACGCAAATGGACTGATAACTACTTTGTGTGGCGCATGTATATTTTGGTGCGTATTTGTAACAATGTTTGGGTCTAAATAGATTATGTATTTATGTATAATTTTTATTTTTTGTTCAGCCATCTTGTCCATTAGATTTATATTTGGAAAATGGTTCTCCATGTTTAACACAATCAACACAATCACTAGTTGGTATTGTATCCGCATCGTCAGCCTTGTCATCCTCATCCACTACAGCTATAACAACAACCACCAGTACTACTGTTGTACAGAAAAATAATAATTCATCATCATCACAGTTGAATTATTTAGTTGAAAATCATAAATCATTATGCTATCAAGGTCGTTGTCCAACACGTCATAGTCAATGTGAAATGATTTGGGGTGAACAAGCTACAGAAGCGTCTGATTATTGTTTTCATTTACACAATACTAAAACTGATGGAGCTTGTGGTGTACAAGGACAGCATTGTACTATTGAGTTAGTTCAATTCTCATATATCATATTATACTACTTATGTCTTGTATTTTTTCTGCTTTAATTCTGTTTGTTCATTCATTTTTTTTGTTAGGTTTTATTTTCAAAAAGATTATTATAAAGTTTTCTGCATTGAACTATGTGTATACAGAGGTTTTCCTGACGCTCATTTGTGGAATGTCTTTAAATATAAGTACTGAATACTATTCGATGCTGGTATTTATTTATTATATTGTTTATCACTACTCAACTGTAGCTGGTACTTTGACATAGTGGTTCAGCTTGAATATCATGGTGACCAAGGCCATTTGAAATGAGCATTAAAACTGAAAGCACTAGATGATAGACCTGAAGGCGCAGTTGTACTATCCACTGTACTTGGGGGTGTGACGGCAATAAGGTTTCTTTAAGGAAACTAATCTTTAGCAGTTCTGTCTTCTAAACATGAACAGACGGAGTCGTAACCAAAACTATCATCGCTTACGTTACCTCACAAATTCACATCGCCGGTAGTGAGGTTTTTAAAGTATTCATGGAACGGCCATGTGTGACTGACTTTAAATAGCCGTCCGTTGGACACTGCTGTCGCTCTCCACTAACCTAGGTTGCTTCTCAGGTAAATCTATAGTGTAGGTACTTTAAAAGTAGCACCCTTTCTCTATAATCACTTACAGCACTCAAGTCTGTAGATTCAAGCCGAAGTACACCATCATGTCAATCTTCATCATAGACTGAAAACTAGTTAACACAGTAGACAGCTCTTTGCTTTGTTATCAGATTCTTCAATAGTAAGTTTAGCCACAACCCATGTATAACGAATCAAACTCTATTACCTTCAATTTTCATGGACTACTCGTTCTTTTTTGTTCGAATTGAAATGAATGAACTGGTGGTATATTCACTAGTTTGGAAACCTAACTTATTTAATCAGGAGCCAGTTAGAACGGTAAAATTATATAGATTGATTGGAATAGTTTAATAGAAACATATATTGAGTAATATGTTAATGCTAAACTTTTGATGACAGCAATAATACTTAAACTCATGAATTTAATAGGTTTTTTCATGTAAGTTTATAGTGCTGTTACCCTATCAATTTTTCCGAAGTATATTAATCTGTTTTTCTTTTATATTACTTCGTTCTCCCTCTCCCATTCTGTTTCATATCTTTAGACATGCAAAATGTGGCCTTTTACAGTGTCAAGGTGGTAGACCTAGACCTGTTTCATTGGAAGCACAATCTGGCCAACCATTTGTTACGTATACAGAACATCAAGGACGTCAATTTGAATGCAAGTAAGTGTTCAAGAAAATGTCTCTACAACATAATAGCTTTATCAATGAAAAATGGGTCTGTTCTTTTTTATTATCTGTTTTATTGTTCCTAATGGTTGAAGAATGTGATTAATGATTATACTAATGGTATACACTTTTCACTGAGACTATCTGTGAATAGCCTGTGTAGCATGATCATGTAACAAAATTTGAAATCTCTTCATTATAGTCTTGACTATTCATTCGAACCCAGAATATGTATATGCTAGTAAGATCTCAGATTATTTGGTTTTCTTTATTTCTTGTTAATAAATGGTACTTCGAATGTGTAGTGAAACGTCTATGGTAACTTTTCTCTGTTCATATTTCTTAACTAACTTTTGATACTATCTGATTGGTTTTCCTGAGTTTTAGTTTGCTATCCTTATTGAGCCTCAAGATCATACGTACTTTATTATGAATGGAAGTTGTTGTATTACGATTTTGGCTTTTTCGAATATCAAGCTTTTTCTTTGTTCCTGACTAATCTCTTCAGAGATTAAAGTTTTCGTGTGAATGATACCTGTCAATTTTGAATTTTTGATCTCAGTCTAACAGTCAATCAAACTTTATGAACACTGGTATCACACAATCTGATTAGATACTTTTTCCACTTTTTTTCCATTCTTATCTTATTCATTAGTCAACAGAATAATTAATACTGGAAATTCAGTTTATAATTATACTCATTAGTAAGGGTTTGTAATTTAGTATTACAATTGGTCACTCTCTGTTGCATCCATAGCTGACTTCGTCGATATTGTCTTCTATCATAAGTTCTAGTATGGTTATTGTATGAAAAGCATTGGAATCCAAGACATGTATCATTCTCCTCACGACTCTACAGTTGTATGTACCGCCACATTTAATGTTGATGCTCACAATAAGGCTTAAGCGTAGTTCTGTATTCTTTAAATAAGGTGAAACACCTATCTTGGATTCCACTATTTATCACATATCATATATGCGATAACTTGTGAGATAATGCTAATATCTATGGTATCCACGTGAGGTGCACATATCCCAACAATGACTGTTTTTAATCCCGATTATTGGCAATAAAAAAATAATAAACCTTTACTTAATAGATTCATGCCTGTTAAACAAGTTAGTGGCTATCTGGAGCGTATAATGCATTGATGCTTGCAAAAGTAAATAATGGTTTTATGTATATAAACATTAACCCTGGGATATGACTGGCATATCCAGTTGATGAGTTTTGAATAGGACGAAACACCTATCATATATTCCATTATAAGCCATATACCTAGTAAACCAATACTTATTTCTGTACAACTCCTTTTTTTCTCTCTTTTAATCAAACTACAATAAGATTTTTCAAATTGATCTCTGTACTGTAATTTTGTGTTTGTTAATTAGTCTCCCCCTGTTTATCTATCCTATATAGCTAGTTCTGTTCATTTGTTTATATTTTCATTCTTATCTTCATCCCTCTTTTCTTGTTTACATTTTATTTGCTTCATGGATTTATTTCTTTGCTTTATTAACTATACAACCTGATCAGTTGTAAACATTTGTTTGTTTAGTGTAAATTTTTTTGTGTCAAAATGGAGACATACTACTACTATTGTGTTTATTTACTAATGTGTTCAATTATTCTCATCATAGATATTCTCTCCTCTTTTGATTGTGTGTTTTCTTTCTTCGTTCATTTTCACTGGGGGTGTGGTGAAACTATAATTTATCAATGAAATAATCAGATCTAAGATCACAACTCTTGGATGATGGCGCTAAAATTGATTCATCCATTTGGCTAAATAGCATATTGACATCATAGTTGGTATCAATTCAGGGTTAAAAATCCTGACTCTAATTCTTAACCCTACTGTCTAACTCTAAGTTCTAATCCTAATTCTTCACATTAATTTATAACCTTACTTTTAGGCTAATAATTAGATGAATATTCTCATGATCATTTTAACTTCACTCAAAGGTCATCTAGAAATTATAGTCTCACCGAATGGTGTTGATGTTACCATTGCTAATGTGTTTTTGTGCTACAATGGTAGTTAGCAAAATGTTGTATTCTTTTCTTCTTTTGTTTTGTAGTGTCTATTTCAATTTGGTTTATCATATGTGTGTATGTTCTCCTTCCTTTTTTTTCCCCATCTCAGTTAAAAATAGTTTATACTTTATTGTTTTTAATCCAAGATGTTTGGAGATTGTCTATAGGAAATTCTGCTTGACGTAGGTTTCATCTTGTTTGGTACTACTCGTGATCACCTTGAGAGAATTGGTGTTCCGTGTAAGATTCGAACTCGCAATACCCAGACTCACAGTTTTTTTTATTTACTCTGAAGAAGCGACTTACATTAGGAATAAAAACAATCAACTCAGTTGATATTACAGTATATGCGATAACTACCAATAGGTTTAAGCGGTAATTATGTGGTATTGTGTACCACATTACAAATGGTTATAATAATATTGAGCTGTGAAAATTTACATGTTAACAATAATACCGATTTGTGTTCTCCCAACTTTTGATCTCCTTATTCCTCCTTGTCTCTTTTTTCCTCTTTCCAAATTTATTTCACTGTATTATACTCTTTAAGTAACATTTCCAAACACTGATCTTCCCGATTACTGCTTATACTCTTATTACCTCTACTACTACGGGATTTGAATCGATCACTGCATCTCTATGCTAATGTGGTGTGGCAACTCGAACTGATGTACGTACGTACGAAGTTCTACGTTGTTACTGACTGACTGACCGATTTGGACCAAGCTTAACATATCTGAACCTGGAATCTAATAGGAGCATGCACCGTTTTGACTATCTAACACTGAATGATATAAAAACATGATTTTAATCTATCACTCTATCAATATCTTGTATGGAAAGAAGTGTAAATTTATTTTAAGAAAAAGGCATATTGACAGATCTACACTGCCTGGTTGGGGTCAATACTATGGTCGTAATCAGTGGTTAGGGATGTTAGATGGCATGGATCAGAATCGGACGCAATAGCACAGATATATTCACCCTCTTTCTTATCTTAGATAGTGACTTCCAGTATCATTTCATAAATACTTTTAATCGCATCCCAAACATTCTTGCATTGTTGCTTCTGAGCACCTGGATGATAGGGAGTAAAGTAGTTGAATGCATTGATCTCTTCACTTATCTTGGGAGTCTCACCAATGCTGATGGCCTGATGTCTGACGAAATCTTAGCATAGATTCGGTAGGGTCAATCGGCTTCTGTCAATTTCTGCTGGGGAATATACAGTAAAGAAACATGTTACTCCACATAGTCACCTTTTGCTCCAAGCATAAAAAGTCAACGAGGACAATCATAGGAAAATCGGCATATGAGTAATGATACTGTCGTTAACATTTATGCATATAAATTAGTATGAAGTGGAACAGTTCTAGTATTATCACTTGGATGCTGGCTCAATGGTCTAGAGTTTAAGCCTTTGCACGTGAGACCGAAAATTCTGGGTTCAAGTCCCGCGTACGGGGTCGTGGATGCTCATTGCTGAGTAGTTCTGTACTAGGACGAAACGGCCATCCAGGTTTTCAGTAGTGGTCTAGCGTTGATCGATTTATTATCTCAATGAAAAGTTCTACTATTCTCGCTCATTATTTTTTATTTGCATTACTATTTCATATGGCAAATTGTTTGTAAATTTTCTTTGATCCTTATTTCTCTATTACTGTCGCTGTTGCGTTTAATTCTCCTATGTTCATAATCTAACAATTAATCATTTTCAATTGACCAGTAGTTGAGTTTGAATTGATACGAAACATTCTCCGTGCGCGCACACACACGCACATACATCCCCCTTTATATATGTTTACATTTATTATTTGTTAGTTTTGCCTATGTGCTATTCGTTAATAAAAAGATAATCGCTCATCTTTGTTTGTCTCTGTGTGAATTAAAGAATACAATTCTCTGTTTTCTTCGTTACACGCAACGTTTATTAATACTACTCTGTTAGAGAGCAGCCGCTGACAACTACGTAAATATACACATATATTTTTTGAACGGGTTGGATGTTGAAACATCACAACAACAACAAAATCCTCAGATCCTTAATATTTTTTTTGACACTGTGATTGGGGCAGTTATGTTTTGGAAAAAGAAATTTTATTCTTAAATAAAAAGAAAGAAAATACCATAACAGACATTTCGTACACCTTGTTATTTTAATTATTTTATGGGGTTTGGACACGCATTTTCCGGTTTTCAATAAAATTTATGACATTAATTTATTACTTCTATTCACAATTTATAAACTAACAAACTAACGTATACTAGTTGTCATAGTTATTTTAAGCGTTTGTGTTTGTGTTCCTTTGTATGTGTCTATATGTGTGGGTGTGTGTACATGCACCTGCACACTTTTGTCTTAGAGACAAGGCGATTAAACTAACAATATAAATGAGTTTAATAATGTTTATGAATAACAGTATTATAGTAGTAACAGTAGTACACTGTAAGTAGTATCATCAGTAACATCAGTACTAAATTTATTCAAAATAACTTGTTCTTTCCGCGTATTAGTCTTTAAAGAACTTTACTCCATTTTTTTGTAAGATAATAACGTTTTCTTTGTATGTGTATGTGTCTATATGTGTATCTGTTGCTTTTAAATTTCTGTTATTTCCCACCGATCATAAAATTGTTACGATGATCATAATATGTGAGGCACAAGGGTGGAGGTTAGTATGTTTATTTATTTTCAGAAGATTATTGTTTATCTATGTGACTACTGCTTGTCTGTGTTTGTGTGTGTGTTTGATTTAAGATAAAGAAATGGGACGTTTGTAACCTTACACTTGAAAAAAAGATTTATTTTAATAATACTGAAATATTGATATTCTTGAGAAAGATGATCCGACCTTCTTGAAGGTGTGTGTATGTGCTGCTTACATTTTGGTTAGCTATACATATCCTGCTGACTACATGAGTTGTTATTTTCCTTTGAAAAAGTTTTTCCTCTACTTTATAAGCTAAGTAGCTATGATATGATATTATTACTTATACAACTGACTGAAGAGGGAATGAGATAATAGTCGCCTAATATCACGAATTGACTGAAGTTGTAAAATGTGACTACAGGTTTAACCCATGGTGTGGAGGGGGGACTGATGTTGTTAGCATACACTGTTAAAAAGTCCCTTGGTTGAACAAAAAACCAGCTATCCATTACCTCTTAGTTTTTGTTGACGTAAATTATTTTCTAAAGTCAAACACTTCGGAGTTAACTGATCACTAAATAATGACCAATGTTATATTTCTTTTAAAATTAGTGATGATCAAGTTGCACTGTAACCACTAGGATAAATAAGTAATTTGACATCGCGTACATTATGTTCATAGAAATAAGGACTAGAGAAACACGATATTAATCACTTTTCAGAGATCAATAAATTGTGAATATCGCATCCCTATACGAAGTCAGCTGCGACCTGAATAACTCACTTTTAATTTTTTCGACTATGAAGCAGCCTCGAGTCCCATAGAGAACATCAGTTCACACATGATTTCCATCAAGCCATGTTAAGTCAATACAAGGTTTCCTACGGACTGTCTCCGGTTACTTGGCAAAATCGAACAATCCATACAAATTTATCGTACTAACGAGTTCTTAATTTCATCTTAAGATAAGTATTTTGTCACTTTTACTGCATATTTCCCCAAAATACCCCACTGGATAGGTTGCTTCTCGTTCTGAAATTTAAACAGGACTGAAGTCTTTCAACTTCAAGATGATGGCTGAAGGCAGTTTACAGGAAACCCTGAACCTAGGTTTCAGTCTACTTGGCACTCGTCACCAAGGTGTACCTGTAATCTTGAAGGAACCAATCTTTGTTAAACAACCGCTGAGAACCAAGAAGGACTGGACATCAGTACACATTCACGAATTTGCCACCAGGGCTATAACCCAGCTCCTTGGGTCTTGCTGTCAGACGCCTAACCTCTAGACCACTAATCCGTCTACCTGTTTAACTTCAATTTGTTTTTGTTAGCGAACGTTTCGTTCAATTGACTGAAAATTTAAACCGAACCGTTGATACTAACTCAGTGATCTAAAGGGTCAGCACTAACTCAGACACCTAACAGGTCCTGGGTCCCATCTCTGATTCATACTCCTAAATTTGAACGAGACAGCTGTCCAGTATCTCCTAGTTTTTAATATAATATATTATTTGATATTATTACTTTATGAGTCTCACGTACATATTATTTTACTTACTTGTTTATTTTCTACATAGATATCTGTCTCATACATCTAAAGTTCGATTTGTCCCAGAAGGCGCATCGTGTGCGCCTGATCGTTATTGTTTTCATCAAGAATGTGTACTACCACATGTTGTTTTTCAGTCGATTTGTCCAACTGGTCCAGTAAATAAACAATTAGAAAATGGACATATCATCTATAAAAATGTGACATGTTCTGATCACGGTGTAAGTGAATAGTGGTGTTTTCTTTTTTCTTTCTTTGAGGGAGGGGGAAGAGGTAGTACATAATAGGCTTTGTGATTGTCCAAGCGTGTGTATGTATGTATGTATGTACGTAAAGTTTTCTTATAAAATGAATAAACATGTTTTCAGTTTGGGGTTATGGAGATTGTTAAATTTCGTTGAAATCATGAATTGATAAATGTTAGACCATCATTCAAAACCCGAAAGCACTGAACGGCCGTTTCATCCTAGTATGTGGGATTCCTCAGCAGTGCTCATCCGCTATCCCGCATGTGGGATTCATACCCAGCACTTTCGGTCTCGGGAGCAAACGCCTAACCTCCAGACCACTGGATCGACATCAAACGGTGTCTAACTCCAATCAATTCACGTTATCGCGCGACCATCTTCCTTTGTCTTCGATGGGTAATTGCCTCACACTCAACATGGTTAAGCGTTCGCGCTCGAGGCCTAGAGTGCCTGGTTCGAGTCCCGCTTTCGAGATCGTAGCTGTGCGCTGCTGAGGAGGTCCATATCAGGATGAAACGGGCATCCAGTGTTTCCAGGCCCCCAAATGCCCTGGTACGGCCGAGAGTGGGGTGGGCCCGCTCTCCCTCTCGAAATGCTCTCACATGGCCACGCGTATATAGCCTCTGCCAGCGAAGTCCTACTCACTGCCTTCTCGTGGCACTACTGTTGTTTACGAAAATGAGAGGACGAAAAGCGAATGTCCGGCGCTTTAACCGGATCCCAAACCAAATCAATGATGCACATGGGCTCCAGTATACTGCGGGAACAAATGGCGTATGAACCAATTGTTGGTCACCGGCTACCATAGGACTTTATCTCCTCACGATGCACCATTGCCTTATGGATCAGACCTTTAGGTCAAAGGCTCGGGGTGTGGCTCCCTGAGAAAACCACCTGCTTCGGTCTGGGCACCCGGGCAGTAGCCCAGCCCTCACACAAATCGAATGATTTATGTGGCGCATATCTATTTGGTACCTCCTTGTACCAATATCTATGTGTTAAAATAAAAAAACATTTATCAGTTCGTGATTTCAAGCAAATACATTTTTATCGATACTGATCTATTCGTCTCCCTGTCACAAATGTGGATATTGTTAAAGATTTCTGGTTAATTGGAAAATAATTTCAGTGTAATTTAGTCATTCCAGTATAAATTCATTCGTCATTTGATTTTTGTTTATGATTTTCAAACAGTCAGTTATTAATGTAGTAGAGTCTGGGACAGATGTTGATCATCTCAAGGTACTGTACCACATTACTATTATGAGATGAAACTCATAAAATCAATAGCAAAGAAATTGAAATAATTGTAGTCAGGACGACTGAACATTGAGAATACAGCTCAAAAAATGAGAAAGAAGAAATGACTACGGAAGAAAACTGGAACTGAAGACTCGAAGTAACCGTTTTTAAGCCACACCATTCAACGTCGCCAACCATTGATTACAGTTACCTTGCTGACGTCAACCAGCAAGTCGGTATCCAACAACATAACTCATACCAACAATTAGTGACTTTGTGGACTAATAGCGTAATTTGGATTATCCGTCCCTAGCTTATTTCCTTAATAGCGAACATGACTCGTCGAGTTAGACAATGGTTTAATATACTCAACACTTGTTACAACCATCTCAGTCGATACAGATTCACAAACTCATCAATCGATCTATTGTCTTTACCTAGTATCCTATACCTAAGCTCAAGATTGCCACCACAATCATCAGTCACACCTTAGAAATTTACAACTAAAGGTAAACTCACTCAACTATTCTTAACTCAGTAAGTTGATCAGTAATCGAATCTGTGATCCAATAATTGAATCTGTTCACTATTTGACTATTTACTTACCTCCCAAAACTAATCATACAAAGAAATATCTAAGTAAATCGTACTAAAGATTGGAGAGAGAGACAGTAATTTAATGTAAATTTTAAAGATTTCTGATAAAATCTTTCTTTGTTACCAAAAACTGAATGCATGCTAAAAACAAAAAGTGTCAAAGTGAACAGAGTTTAATCATTTTAATAATTTCTAAGTCCTTATCATTCGGCGTCTCTGAAACAGATGATATGTGCAGTTCTTTTAAGGAAAGTAAACATAGGGAGTAAGATCTCCGACCCTGACAGGGTTGACACTTGAATTCAACTTATAAAAGAGCGGTTAGACATACGGTTCTCATGTGTCATCTTATAATGACTTAAGTTTGTAATAATTTATAAAGATTGAATACATTGATTGTGAAAATATTCCGCCTTTTTCATGCTTACATTCAGAATCAGGAGTATTTTCTTTGATTTGCCTTAATTTAAGTCAGTTGTTCTAATTGAAAAGTCAATTATCTGAGTTAATAGTATACATAATGAACTTAACCGCCTAAAACTATTTTGTTCTAGAATGACAAACTGATCATATGCATAACGGTATTTAGACGATGTATAGGTGGTAAAATGTGATTATTTCCAATCACATAAAAATCAATAGCTCATTGGAAATGCTTACTTAATCAATCATGTATTAAAGTCTAGGTTATATATCAAGAAATAAATACAGTCAGTGGGAATTCCTTTGAAGCTTTTTTAAATGCTCAGCTGTATTTGAGCGGTCAATATAATAAAGACTAAATTCGGTCGTACTAGCATGCTTATCTGTGGAAATTATAACTAGGAAATCTCTCAAACAACAGAGTTAAATGATTAACTGAAGTTTTTAAAAGGTATATTACATTCAATCTATAATTAGTCATTTGCATATATATACCCCTCATGGAGGAGCATGGGCCTAACACCATTCTCCATTCACCTCTATCCTGGACAATTCTTTCCAGTTGTTATTCATTCTTTCGATGTCTGCCTTAAATTTCCAGTGCAATATGTTCCTTGGTCTTCCTCTTTACTGTTTCTCTTCAGCATTTCAAGTTAGCGTTTGCTTTGTGATACAGTTTGATGATTTCCTTAATGTATATCCTATCCACCTCCAGCATCTTTTCCTAATCCACAGAACTAAGTACATATAGATTTAATCTACTTCAAATAATAATTCAGATAAATGATTATTTTCAAATTAATTATCTATTTTACTTTTCTTAAAAAGAAGAAACTAAAAAGAAAGTATCATTTCTTTATTATTCTTTTTTTGTTGTTTTGTTCAAGTTATGTACTAATGCTGGTTTCTGTTTATGTCATCCTGAATGGACTGGTAATGCTTGTGAATTAGCAGTAGTTATTACTAATAAATCTATTACTATTACAAATGATCGAAATTCCTCCTCCTCCTCATCATCATCATCGTCAATAGTTTCAAGTCAATCAACTATTATGAACAATATGAATCCACTGAGTTCAGAAGTTATTCATTGGATATGGGATTATTTAGAACAAATGCAAAAATCTTATGGAAATTCTCGACATTTTCAACTTAAACGCTTTAGTATGTTATGTTTTTCTTCTTCTGTTTATTCACATTTATCTCATGTATTCAGTTCAGTTGGTAGTGTATGTGTATGTGTAGAGAGAGAGTTAGAGAGTATGAATCGTAATTCTAGTGTGTAAGTTCATTTAGTTAAGTCGATATAAGAAAGATAAGTGATACTATTATCAATTTTACCTGAACCTATAGTCAATTTGGTTAACAACGAATTAGTTTAAGTATAAGCCATGACATTTTCTATATAATACATTATAACCATCAAGTTTCGTTGTCTATCAAAAATAGGGTTTTATACTAAGATGATATTTCACAATTTGGTTTAAAAGATATCTGGTTCATTACTTCATTTTTTTAAAATGATAGTAGTCCTATCATAGTAAGGTTATCTAATAGATTGTCTTTTGAAGAAACTATAAACATATAAACATATAACAATACTTCCATAACGAGTTCAGATTCTCCTGAACTTCTTGGTCTTATCATAGTGCTTTATGATTTCATAGACTAGACTAATTAAACTATTTCATTGTGTACACTATTATAAGATTGCATGTATATATGTAGTTATTTTATTGTATCATAGTTGACACATATTTCACGATCAGTCATATTACATCCTCCAATTATAAAGCATTGTGAAAATCTTGATAAAATTCTACTTCATTGACGAATCGGTTTGATTTAATATAACATGTATTGGATTTTTTTTTTTACATAAAATTCAACGTATAACGATGGATAGTTTGTAACTTATTATTAAATAGGTAATGTGGTGTGCGCTACTTATATACACATACTTAGTATATAACGATAGTCACGAATAGAATGTATTTCAGTAGAAGATTGAGAACGAAATAACGGGAATGGAAAGCAATTGATATAAAAACGCAGGAAGAATGAAATCTGAGACAATGGATTGATCACTGGGTGGTGATCACTGTCATGTGTGTAAAGTCCTTATTTAATGCAGATCGAATGCTATCGACCATGTTGCAATGTGGCCGCCAGTCTAGGTGACTCGACACTGCGTGCACTATATATTGAGATTAGATGTTAGTTGGAGGTAGTCGACAGGAAACCCTGGACCCGGGTTTCGTGCTACTTGGCACTCGTCAGCAAGGTGTACCTGTAATCTTGAGGGAACTGGTTCTCCCTGGCGGATCTGATCCCGTGTCACCCAGCTTCACAGTCACAGACGTTACCACTGAGCTATCGGGGCCGCGACTGACCTTCTGTAGGACTGAGATGAATTTACAATTGATTGGCCGCCCGGTGGTGATCAGTGTCATGTGTCAAGTCCTTGTTAGTGCAGATCGAATAGTATCGAACCGGGATAAAATCCGTCAGGGAGCACCAGTTCCCTCAAGATTACAGGTACACCTTGCTGACGAGTGCCAAGTAGCATGAAACCCGGGTCCAGGGTTTCCTGTCGACTACCTCCAACCACCATCTAATCACAATGGATTGATATTTTGCAAATTAAAGATTTACTGTATGGTTCTCAGATTTTAGTGAGATGCTCTGTAATTTCATGTTCAATTACGTTCGGTTGTCCCCACTCGTGTTCTTGTTCACTACAGTAGAACCTATAAATATTTAGTTATTATTACTCTTAAATTGAATAAGTATGACAAAACACAAGAGAATGTGGGGAGGGTTGAAAGTGATTGACAATAAGAAAGTGATTTATTGCTCATGAAAAGTAAGGACAGTACACTTTAGTGTATATGAAATCTTAACATCATGATTTATAATTTCTTGAAATGATATCTTCTTGAGATTTGAAATCATAGACCTAGTTTTATATTAGATATGCTGAACAATAACCAAATAGAGGTTAAATGAGAAGTGAAAAATGCTGACGGATATACTTTGTTGGCTGAAAATGTGACATCGTTTTTTAAGGGACATGTATCTATATTTAGGGATGAGTATGCACATATAACTCGAGTCATGTTAACCAATAAAAGTCTTCCATTCATTCTTGAGTTCTTTTTATTCAAGTAAATAGTTAAGGCACTCTCACTCTCTCTCTCTCTCTCTCTCTCTCTCTCTCTATATATATATATATATATATATATATATATATATATATAAGTAGTAGGCTAGGATGATTGCAAAACATAACATTTTTCTACTATTCCTCTAAATGACTACAAAACGTTCTCTCAATCTAACTCTTAATCCTAACTCTCACCTATTTTTAGTATCTATGTAATAAATTATTCATTTCTATCATTTTCATCCTAATTAGTTAAAAGTTTGTTTTACTTTTTCAAGGTCATTTCAAGGGATTCTGAACGTCATGAATAAACCATACTTCCATAGAAATCTTTTCCGTGTTCATATTTTATAGAAAATTGTTTTGATTTCTTGTCGTTGTTGTATTCTTTTTCGCTTTCTCCAATTTTTTATTACTTACTTACGCCTGTTACTCCTCGTGAAGGAGCATAGGCCGCCCACCACCACTCTCCATCTAACCCTGTACTCGGCAATCCTTTCCAGTTGTTATTTATCCTTTTCATATCTGCTTCTATTTTCCGACGTAGTATGTTCTTTGGCCTTCCTCTTTTCCGCTTCGCTTCAGGATTCCAAGTTAGGGCTTGCCTCGTGATGCAGTTTGATGATTTGCGTAATGTATTTCCTATCCATTTTCATCGTATTTCCCTAGTTTCCTCTTCAGCTGGAAGCTGGTTTGTTCTCTCCCACAGAAGGTTGTTACTGATGGTATCCGGCCAATGGATGATGAGTATCTTGTGTAGGTAAATGCTTCTACATGTCGGTCTACTTTTGTTTAATTATTACATAATAAAAATTTATGAATTATTTAACTGTTAATCAACTTTTTGGTTTCTCTATTCATTGTTATATCAGGTCATAACAATAACAATAATGGTGAGAATTATAAAGCCCCATTGAATACATTGTATTTAGTTTGTATACTTGGAGTTGTTGTTGGTGGTATATTTTTATTTCTGGCAATTTTTATGTTTATTTACAGGTTAGTTGATTATATTTGTGTGTTTGCATTTTACTAGTAAACTTTAATGATCAAGGAAAAATTGATTGATATTGTTCAAGAAATCCATGTATTTTTTGTTCCCACTTGTCTGTTAACTGTAAATAGTCGTAAGAAGTTCATGATGGTGAAGTAGGCGGGAACTTAGTGATTAATTTATACAACTTTCAACAATCCAAGTAGCATATTCAAGTTACGTTTTAAATAATTCATTTTGGATAGCCGACTAGTATCACTAGTTAGATGTTTAGAACTAGTTGGCAGGAACTTCTATTCAACCTAAGTTTCGTACTAGTTAACACTTGTCACAAAAGTATACGTGTAATCTTCGAAAAACTGGTGCTATCTGGTGAATTCGTATCCGCATCACACAGCTTCATAGTCCGAGACGTTATCACTAAGTTATTTGAGCCACCATGTCAAGGAAATTCTTTAGTATCAATTCTTTATAAAATGTCTTGATAAAAGTCTCATTTAGGATACAGCATATAGTTTTATAAACAGGTAGGTATTGACGGTTTCGTTTTGCCACCCTAACCAAAGAAAGTTTAATCGACTTCAATAATGAATTGAATTGATCGTCCAATTTTCTTTGATAATAACGATATAGTCAATTTACAATTATGAGTAATTGCAAGACGATAACCACGAGTGCTATCTTTCTGATTTGTTTATCCACATAAACTTAACCATTTTTTTATTGATTGCCACTAATTCTAATCTGCAAACTTTTGTGTTTCAAGGTCATGTCATGCTAACATAAACATGAAGTTGTTCCGCTCTGATTTTGTCTTCGTTAAACGTAAAGTTTTTCCGTACAATCCTGCCTTCTCTTTTTATCCAACCTCTAGAGATTATTGTTGCAGTGTTGTATAAAGGTTATCACAGCATCGAATTCACAATAGATCTTATTCGTATAGGAATAATTCCGGTCATTTTTAATTAACAAATTAGTGTTGGGTCCAATCGAACCCCCAACTAGTCGTACTCGTTTTCTACAATATTTAACAATAGTCATTTCAATCGCATTAATTTTTAAACAGCCACGGAGGTCCTACTCACTACCTTCTCGAGAAGAGGGTGCTTATTAAGCTGAGAGGAATAAAAGCGAATGGTTGGCACTCAACCCGAATCCGTAGGTACAAGGGATCCGTCTCAGGAAGTTGAAAAAAAGCAACCTATTCCACGATCCTCATGGGATAAATGGCGTATGAATCCCTTGTTCGTCGCCAGCTACCATGGGACTGCACCTCCTGATGTTGCTCCACTTTCTTGTGGATTAAACCTCTAGGTCAAAGGCTCAGGTAGTGGCTCCATTAGAAAACCATCTGATTCTGTTTGAGCACCTGGACAATATCCCAGCCCACACAAAAATTGAATGATTTTTATGTTGCGTATATTCTTTGGTGCCTCCTTTCACTAATGTTAGTATTTAAATAAATAACTTCTCATAACCATCCTTCCTTATTCTCACATCTTTTTACATGGATTATATGTTATAACTTATTGAAGTGTACAAGATAACTATAGTTAAACACTCTCCATTAGACAACTGATGGGCCTGGCTCCGATTTTTCTGATAGAGTTATAGTTGCTCATTACTGAGAAACCCCTCACTACGAGAGAATGATTTTCCATTATTCCACAGTTTTCAACGTTGCCGACGTCTGTAACCGACGTACATTTCTATTACTAATAATAATAATAATAATAATAATAATAACAAAGTCTCTCTAAACTTTCTGATAATTTTCTACTGTTTGTCTACTTTTTTTCTATTCCAAACAAAATTCCAATTTTCTGCTAACATTACATATTTAGACGACGGGGTCGACCTAGTATTTTCAACAAATCTTATTATAATAATCACAATCATAGAAAGTTTTGTGCATTTAGTAGAAATGGTTGTCGGCGTCGTCGTTGCTGTAAAATTAATCAAAGAAATAATGATTTATTATCACCAAGATCTACTAAACATAATGGTGGTTCATTACGCTTATTTAATACTATTGATTCAAATTCGACAGAATGTCAAGAATTACAAAGTTCCATGTATGATCGATCTACTGTCGGTGTTGGAGGTAGTAGTTGTAGTAGTCATGATAAATCAGGATATGATCGACATAGTCGTCTACATCATGATTATTGTACTATCAGTAGTAGTAATAATCGGAATGGTGGTAACCAAGATGAAGAATGTTCACGACGTGTTCGTAGTCGAACTGATAATAGTCGTAATAGAGATTTAGAATGTCGTAATCATCGTCATCATCATCATCATTCAGAACATAACAATGAAAGTAAACATCGACGTAGACAACATAATCGTAATGGTGGTAGTAGTAGTAGTAATAGTCATGGAGTAAAAGATAAAGAGGAATTATCAAGAAAAAAGAAACTTGATCGTAAGCATAAATCATCTAGCCGAACTAGTGCACCTGGAAGTAGTGATATTAAACTATTGGATTCAATTGAAGGACAATATGGAATTAATTTCTCTGATACTGAATTAACTTATAAACATTCAAATAATAATAATGATGATTATCATAATCACGAAGAGTTAAATAATAGTATGGATAGAATAATTAAATTTGGCAGTATGCCTTCATATAAGTGAGTTACAGTATCTTTTTTGTTCAAATGAATTCATTTATTCCGACAGTATTTTTTTAGTGTCATCACTCTCAAATTTCATCTACTTCATATAAAATTCAGCCATCTCCGTAAACTTATACTGATAATGATCATATACACTCACTAGTGACTAACTTCGAGAGGAAGTTCCTTAGAATTCTGGTGATTAGAATTTGGGAGGACACAAAGAGTAGATGCACCTGTGCCATTGCAAACGATGTTGAGCCATATCATTGAAGGTCTCTAACCATCGGTTGCTATTGGACTCAACGCTATACCTACGCCAGCAGAGCAACGGGAAGCAGCCTCAGCGCTTCCAGATACACGAAGCGTGAATCGAGTTGGTTCTTTATTTTGACATGGTGAGGTCAAGTGAATGACGCTACTCTGGTCCTGTATGTGCGTTTCGGAGACGCAGCACACATCGATGGCGCGAGATTCTAAAGTTCTAGCTAAGGAAGCATGTTGTCCTGTTTGCCATAATGTTCGGACGTTAAAAGCTCCTACATGTAGTTTAGAGCGTGGTTTCAGGAGACCAGGAGTAGCGTTCTGCGTACTCGAATCGTTTGCCCTAGCGGTGCGAGGTGATAAAGAGATGTGAGAAGGGTTAGTCATGGAGATAAGAGAGGTATTAGGAGGTGTAGGAAGGATTTGATCGTGACCAACTTGGTCTCGTGTGCTGTTACGTGTATGAGGGCTGATGTCGCTTTCCGGCTGCCCATACCGTAGAAAGGTATTTCTTGAGGAACCTGGAAAGGAAGATGGAATAATGTTGATCTTAACGACCTGGGGGTGTGACCGTAGAGCCCAAGGGACAACTGCTTAGGGCCGGTCGCGCGCGGCCTTTTTTGGAGGTTTTTAACATGTTAGCTCCGTTCTTCAAAGGGCCTTACCGCCGGAGACAGAAAACTGTGAGGTAAGCGAGATGTGACATTTTTAGGGTCGACCTTTTCCAACCTCTCGTGAAAAGGCAACATCGCTGCAGATGCTGATTGTCCGAGGGAAACACCTTACTGTTGTCACACCCTTCTACAGTCAGCAGTAAGACTTCGCCCTCGGACCTTGAGTTGCTGCTTTTAGTCTTACCGTTCTCCAATCGACCTGCCTGGCATGGTAGAACCTACAGGAACATATGTTTCAGCCGGTATAGCTCGGTTGGTTCATCACGATAGGCAAGCCCGACCACCATATCAAGGTAGCAGCTACGGTCGAAAATGTATAGCCTTGAAATTGATTCATCAAAATCATTTCAGTACACAAAAACTTTTCAATTACTTCTTTCTGATTGTTTTCTTTTTCTCTTCTTTCTAAAATTTGTTTTTGTTAATTTTTTTAAAAATTTATTTCAGAGAAGATAAGATAAAACAATTGAAACGAACAGCTGATACACTTCCTCCTTTTAAATTATTAAAAATGTACAATCAATAAGTACGAGTGAAAATACTGTCTATTTGACAGATTCAACAGACATAACTGTTAATTTACCAAATTCTGACTTAAATATACCAATTTGTGGTACATATACATCTTCACTTATTGAACCTATTGTTGTTAATAATAATAATAGTAATAAACATAATATTAATCAAACATCTACATTATGTGGATCAGTCAGTGTAACATCACCGCCAATAACAACAATAACTGCTATTACATCATTAATATCATCATCATCATCTACTGTACCTCCGTTATTTCCATTCTATTCAACTGCATACTCGAAATCGGTTTCACCTATGACTTATTTACCAACTGATGATTTAACTACTCAAACTACAATATCTAATTCCAATCAAAATTCATTATTATTACACAATGTAACAACAGCTGCATTAGTTGGTGCAGGTCGAGCTGGAGCTAATGCTGCGGCAGCAGTGGCAGCGGCAGCCGCTGCAAACCCCACGGCAGCAGAAGTAACAACAACAACAACAACGACATTCATATCTACTGGAACATTAGATGTTATGTCGTCTAGTAATAATGATATGTTAATTGATACTTGTCCAACAACAGTTTCTCCGGCAGATACTTCAAAAGATGCAATGAATGATGTATGTATAAAAAATATACTTTTATTTTATTTTTCTTGGTGGTCAATATTACCACCACCCTGATAGAATTATTTTGTATCGTTTTATTCTATGCTCAGAATAGTGTATGGTCTATACAATAAATATGTGAACTAAGAGATTACTATCAATTACTATAATTATGGAGTTGATAATTCAACTCGTAATCGCATTAATGAAATATAACAGTTGACAGTAAGGAGTTATGGAAATTGTTAACTTTTATTGAAATCATGAACCGATCTAAATAAGATAACCATTGGAAGTCCTGGATGGCCGTCTCGTCCTGGGTTCGATTCTTGTATTCAGAGTCGTGGATACATACAGCTAAGGAGTCCCTAACTAGAATGAAACGACCGTCCAGTGCTTACAAGTTTTCAGTGGTGGTCCAACTTAAATGGATTCATGATCTCAAAGAATGTTACATTTAAACTTCTTAATGAGTATATAATCATTATAAAGTCTTTGAATGCATAAAATACTTAACTTTGTCATTATGATATTTAACGTATTAACTTTCAAATCAGTTGTTTATATTCTCTAGAGATTATTATCATCCTCAACATCAATTAAATTATAGTTAATTTTAATCACTTAGTATTACATGGTGCAGCGATGATTTAGCGGCTAAAAGACCTTGTTTTCAAACGCTGGTTTGTAAGTTCGAATCCTACCCACTTCAGCTACTCTATCTTAGAAAGTCATTTATTCCTTAATGGTGGAATTCGATATCAGTGACAAGGTAATATTGAGTGCTTTTGGAAGTACAAGGGTGGTAGCCACTCCTTGGTTCCCCACATCGTAAAATAATGTTTCTTCTCAAGGTATCTCAAAACGAAACTGGTTACCTTCAAGCGTGATGATAGAGCATAAGAGACAACGGTTTAAGTTCAGTGACACAACCTTTTTTCGAGTATTTCTAAATATGTTAGCTCCTTAATTTAAAGGCCTTTTCGTCAGCGACAGGAGTTCATAGGTTTAGATGATGTGTTCAACTTTATGCTCGCCTTTTATAACTTCTTCCTTGTGTTATGGATCGGCAACATCAGCCACTATAGATCGTGGTTATCCGTGCGGAACACTTAAGTGTCCTCACATCCCAGTCCAGTCAAGAGTAGGACTTCGCCCTCGAACTTTAATTTTATTACCTTTAGTTGCTTGATATGGTAAGATCTAGAAGAACGAATGTTCCAACCAATATAGCTGTATTGGGTCATCATAATATTGAAATCAAACCATTATATCAAAGCAGAAGCTACAATCAGGAGTCGGTTAGTTTCACCGATATGTGGCTTGAATTTGAGCATACAAACCTGTATTTGATAAATGATTTGTAATACTAAACTACTATGTCCAACCTATGTAGTTGTAATGTTAAAATTTCACTGTTTCTCGATGTGTTTCATTTTGAATCTACATCATGAATTGCGACTATTTATTTACTCATTTGTTATTGTTATCTCATAGACGCAGTTTAACATCATAATGGAGAATTCATGGCGTCAACCAGAGAAAGGTATTCTAAAGAATAAAAATGAAGGCGGTAGTTACAATGTGAATAATTCGTCGTCGGCCAACACTTCCACTAATCGTCGACATCATAGGAGATCTTCATCATCAATTAATCATAAAAAACATCATCATCATCGTCATAGATCACCATCATCATCGGCAGCAACCGGTAGTCATCATCGATCCAGGCATAAACATTCAAAATCATCACGTCATCATCATACTACTCATAATACTATGGATAATAATGATGCCGGTATTATGAAAAGAAATGATTCATTCTCTGATTGTTCTTGCCATTTACATGAAAATGAGAAAAAGTTGAGAAAACATCAAAATCATCATCATAATCATAGTCGGAGATTATCTCGACGGGGTAATAATATTGTAACTAGTCGTTCAAACAGTGTAAATGACGGAAGTTCACACTTAGAATTTTGTACAGCGTTAAATGATATTAATGGTAATGATGATAGAAGCCTAAGTGGTAGTTCATCTCTATCAAGTCATGGTTTAGAATTTTTATCAAGTCATTCATCATCATCGTCATCATCATCATTATCTAGAACATTAGCTACATCGTCATCATCATCATCATCATCTTCTACATCATCATTTACTGATTTAAATTCTCATTGTCATCATCATCATCAACTTCGTCGTCATCATTCACATTCTAATCCTCATTGTCACAAAGATCATGATAATAATGATGATGTACAAAGTTTAAGTTCATCATTCACTTCATCTACTACAAGTACTTGTTCAACTGCTTTAGAAGTTAATGTAATCAAATGTAATAATTCACAACAACATCAACAAAATGGATTAATTAATAAAGATTCTACTGATCCTATAACAACAGATCATAATCGGTCAAAACGATTTGATATTATAAATAATAAATCAAATCGTTCAAATCAACAATTAAAAAAGAATTATGATTATTGTTCTGAGAATTATCAAACTATTCAATGTATTAATAATGATAATAGTATTGGAACCGATCCTATTAATATTGAAAGAGAGGTTTGTTTGTTTGTTTTAATTAATATAAATAATTAGTTAGACAGCCACAATATAGAACTTAGTACATTATGTACATCGTTTCAAGTTGCCATAATCCATTAGCATAGTGAGGTAGAAAATTATTTGAATAAATCCGTTAAATGCCCTGGTATGGCCTAGATTAGGGTGGGCCCACCCTCCCTCTCGAAATGCTCTCACACGGCTATGCGTATATAGCCTCTGCCAGGGAAGTCTTACTCACTGCCTTCTCGCACCACAAGTGTTGTTTACGAAAATGAGAGGACGAAAAGCGAATGTCCGGCGCTTTAACCGGATTCTAAACCAATAATGCACATGGGCTCCAGTATCCTGAGGAAACAAATGGCGTATGAACCAATCGTTGGTCACCGGCTGCCATGGGACTGCATCTCCTCACGATGCTCCACTGCCTTGTGGATCAGACCTTTAGATCAAAGGCTCCGGGTGTGGCTCCCTGAGAACACCACGTGGTTCGGGTTGGGCACCCGGGCAGTAGCCCAGCCCTCACACAAATCGAATGATTTATGTGGCGCATATGTATTTGGTGCCTCCTTGTACCAATGTTTATGTTGTTTAAATAATAATAATAATAAATCCCAGAATAATAAATGTAGTAACAGTATCAGAAGTGATCGAAAAGATTATTCATCGAAGAATACGACCTAGAATTTAGAGAACGAATTGATTCATCTTAGCTACCATGGGATTACATATCTTAACGTTACTCCACTGCTTTGTGGATTAGATTTTTAGATCAAAGCTCGGAGAGTGACCTGCTAACTACATCACCGGCTTTGGTTTGGGCGCTCGGGTAGTATTTCAACCCTCATATATATATATATATATATATATATATATATATATATATTTGGTACCTCCTCATAACATTGTTTATGTGTTTAAATAAAATTAATTTTTGACTTATGAACGATCAACAAAGTATCGATGAAAATGAAAGGAACATGAAAAACAGTATCTATAGACATTCACACTAAATTTTTAGGACCATTACTTAAAACAATCATAAAATATATAGATAAAACAGTTGAAAATGACTTATTTATTATGTATTTTTCTTGTTATAGGATCAACGTAGTTCTCATCGACACAGTCGTAAACATCATCGTCGTCATTGTCGATATCGTAAACACCATGGACATCATAAACGTCATAGTGAATCTAATCAGGAAATCTCCGGAACAATTAATCTTACCGGTGAATCATTAGGATCGTCTTCTAGTACGACTAATAATTGTAATTCTGGAATTTCCGAAGCATCTTCATCATCTTCTGGACTAACGACAGTCTCTTGTCATCGTCGACGTTCAAGAACACGAAGTATAACAGATGAAGATTGTACAACTTCCGGTTCACGAAGAAGTAGTCCTTTACCACCAGCCCCAACAATATTATGTAATGTAGGCCAGCAAACTGATGAGTTGAGTTTATTGAAAGTAGCTGGTCTTACAATATCGTCTAAAACTGGTAAGTTACCTACAATTGATTTATTATATGTATGTACTCTGATTTGACTGGTTACTTCAACTCTAAATCTACTTCTAACATATTTGTAGATATTTATCCAAATGAGTTTGGTAACTAATTTGAAATGGTTATCTTGCAAAATTGACGTTGTTGTATACTTCAATCTATACCAATCAAACGGTTATTTTATTTTGCAGTTATCAATGCTTGAATAATAGTCAGTATCCGACTCGGCTAATGTCTAAGCGTTCGTGCGCGAGACTGAGAGTACTGGTTCGAGTTCCGCGTGCCGGATCATGGATGCTTACTGCTGAGGTGTCCCATACTAGAACGAAACGGCTGTCCAGTGCTTTCAGGTTTTCAATGGTGGTCTAACGTTGATCAGTTCATGATCTCAATTAAAAACTCAACAACCTCCACAATCCTATATTGATATTTTACAATTGTAATTAATGCTTCAATAACAGTCGGCTAATAGTTGAAACACATTTGTCTCTCAACCACTAGTTAACATTTTAAGCTCCTCCCCCCCACCGAAAAACACTTCAGTTCGATAAACAGCTGACTGTTATTACTAACTATCATGCATAAACGGTATTGCTCAAAAGTGAATGCATATGCATGTACTTAGTAAGTGACATTAATTATTATTCATATTTAGATAATAATTTAGTACTGTAAGTAAGTATACACAAAATGTTATATTATGTACATTTTATGATATTGCGCTGAAAATTATTCACAATGTCTTACATTATTGATATGAGTCATTTGTTACTTTCGTTAGCATTACCAGTATTATTACTATCTGGGATAGTTCAGATCATGAACTAAACTTAGTCACATAAACACTGAAAACCAGGAGGCATTGAACAACTGTTTCGTACTAGTACGGGACTCCTGAACATTACACATCCATAACTCTACCTGAGAAGATCGAACTAAAGAGTATCAGATCTCATCGGTGCAAGTTGCCACACCACTTTAGCTCAGAGATGAAATTAGTAAGACAAATTCAAGATGAGTAGAAACACTAACACTATCAACTGGGTTCACAGTGAGTGCTTAACCTTTATACCTCTGAGTTGAGATGTACACCATCGGATCCCAACTCACTTGTCAAAATGTGATGCACCCGACATGAGATCTAAATATCCTAAGTTCGAACCTCATCCTCAAGTGAACTGCTCAATGTACAGTCCTGAGAACTCCCATACTAGTACGAAACAGCTGTCCAGTACTTCATGGTTTTGTACAGTTATCTAACTAAGATTGCTCCGCAATGTAAACCATGGGATTTCCCAATCTCTGCAAATCCTTCGTTTTCATTATACTTACATGAATGTTTGTGTGTGAGAGAGTGGGTGTATTTACACTCCCATCTTTATTGTTTGTATTCTTACTTTGAAGGTGCTAATTCTGAGTCAGCGAACAATAATATCACGAGTAATAATGAAAATCGTAAATCTTATTTAGATTCTGAAGGTGAATGGGAAGAAATTGAATGTAATGAATCAGGTTGTGAGGAATGTCAAAATTCAATTCACACAACAACAACAACAACGGCTACTACTACTACTGATAAAAGTATTAATAGTCATGGAAATAGACAATCGAAACATTTAACAACTACATCACCTCCTATCCTTTCGTCACCTTCTCATCCAACTATTATTCTGCAAAATAGAATAAATCAATTACATTCAACATCATCGAATAATTTCAATCCATTATGTGTAACATTAAATAACCAACAACAACCATTGTATAATCTATCAACTCCCCCGACTAATTCATCATTATCGATGATCAATAGTAAACAACAATCGTATTCAACTAATTCATCGTTAGGTTCATCGAAAACATCACGATCTGCTGGTGGATTTAGTAGTAGTGGTGGAAGTACTGGTTTAGCAAATTTATCATCAATGCCACTACCTCCTCCATCATCTTTATCAACCAATAATCCTACTACTACCATCACGACAACTACTACTACGAATACTGGTAATAATGATAATAATCATTCAAATGTAACTTCTATGCAATTACAACAATACAAACAATCACAGTTATCAGGAATAAAACAACAACAACAATATATCGGTATGATGCATAACAATAATCAAACGAAATTTAATTCGGGTAAGTTCAATATTCAATTTGTCTCTTTTTTAAAAAATGGGACTTTATTCAGTTTACAACTTTTTTTAACTAGAAAGAAACGTACATACTAAATTCTACTGTTTAACTAGGATTCATATTCTGACGAGACTATAATTTATGGACGAACTAATCAAATATGAGATAATAGGTCTCGGATTTTGGTGCGAAATTCACTCATTATTTTGGTTAGATAGAGTTTTGGCATTATAGCTTATGTCGATTCGTGATGAAAACCCTAAATCTGGTTTCTAACACCGATTACCACGACGTGCAATGCTAACCGGTGTTCGGGATGGTTAGAAGAAAGTCAGGGGCGACCATACCAAAACAGTCCTTGAAGTCACTAACTACTGGTCTGAGCCATGTTGGTAGATGAAGACTATTTGGTTGGAGTCCGTGTGACTATCGTAACCAATGGTTGGAGACTCTTGGTGACATGGCTCAGAATCGATCACAATGGCGTAGGTGTATACACACTCTGTCTTCTTTTAAACTAAGAGATTAAAATCACTTCACATCTTTCTTTCTACGAACTAATTCTTTCTTCCTGTACTATATCATTATATGCAATCATTCTTTTATATATTACCACCACTGAATTTACTACTTCTATGGGTCCGATGTTCATCTTGTTGTGTAAATGAGGTATGGCAACTTAGACCGATGCATATATGTGCCTGGTCCTACGTTGTAGCTGACTGACTGACTTCTAACCACAATCATCAACTGTAAATCATAATTCTGTTTCCTCATACAGGTTTACAACCCTCATTTGGTTCTGGTTATTAGGTGGACACTCTCAAGGTCAGATTAGCGTCGCTCAAAGGTCGTCCATAAATGATAGTCTCACATATATGTTTATATTTTTGTGACCACTTAATTTGATTTCAATTCGATTAAACAAATGAATATAAATCTTCCATTTTAACTTCATGTATATTACAAATTGGTTAACCCCCTTTTTATGTGATAGCGGTAATAAGAAACCAAATACAAGTTTAATTGGATAAATTTATTTCAGACATAGACATTAAAAATGAGAAGCAGAGAAGCCGAGCTTATTAACTTCTTTTGTTAAAGTGTGACTTAATATTTATAGCCAGATTAAAATGAATTAGATTTATGGTGAATAGGATAAGCGATACATATACATACGTTAATGTAAAAAGTTAAGATTATAAACAAATAATTGACAAGGTCAAAATGTGACCCAAGAAGAATAGATAAATTAATCTGTCCGGAAGCTAGAATAATTCCATGTGGACTTGACATGGTACTTAGACACTACAATATATTTGTACTCAATCAGAGTAAACAACAAAACGAACTAATGTCATATAAAGAGAAGAGCCGACAACTATGAATTAGTTGTATAGAGTCAATTTTCTTATATTGTTTGACATATATCAACACAAAAGTGTGAAGAAAGTTACTATTCAATTGCACAGGTTGAAATCATGAGTCGATTGAAGCTAGATCACCATGGAAAAACTGGAAGCACTGGGTGGCCGTTTCGCGCGCGAAGCCAGTAGGTCCTGGGTTCGAGCCCCGTGTGGTGCGGGATCGTGGATTCGCACTGCTGAGGAGTTCCATACTAGGACGAAACGGCCGTCCAGTGCTTCCAGGTTTTCCATGGTGGTCTAGCTTCAATCGACTCATGATTTCAACCTGTGAAATTTCTAAAACTCTCCACAAAACCCATTCTGATACTATTCAATTATTAAGTTATACTGGATTTATTCACTTAGTATTTATTCCCCAATTCGGACCCTAATTGACTGTACATGTTTGGATTCGTAGTAAAAATCAATGAATACAATCCCAAAGAAATTTCCTAATCAACAATAAACTATGATTAATTAAAAATAAAATAAAATTGAGCGTCGAATAAAATAAATTCAGATGAAAAAAAAGAGTGACTGTTGTGTACACTGGTGTGTCTTTTTATTGTTTGAATCTTAGTTTGGTCACCATCGAAAAAGAGGAAGAATTAAATAGCTTTTTTGTCCTGCCTACACACAAATCCACTAGAGAGGTTCATTCCATGGACTTTTGGTCTCAAATGCTAACGCTTAACTTATAGCCCACTGAATCAGCATCCTATAGTGTAAACGTTTAATATAAATCAACTTGCGATATTGCGTGTCCGTCTTCAATTACCTAATATGTAAAACTATCTCACTCGGCATAGTTGAAAATCACTAGCTACGGCTTATCACTAGAACTCTAAGAATTAGATCTTAATGTTAGTCACTAATGAGTATATGATTATTATTCGTGTCATAGAAATTGTAGAATTTCCATAGTTTAAATTAGTAGTCTAGAGGTTAGGCGTTCGAGCACGAGACTGAAGATCCTGAGTTTGATCCCCTTTGGCACATTCATTGATTTGGACTGTTGGAGAGTCCCTGACTATGACAAAAAAGCTATCTAGTGCTTCCTAGTTTTCAATGGTGGTCTAACAGAACTCTTTTTAGTTTTTTCTATTAGTGTAAAATATCCTCTTTTTGTTTTGTATGTATTTGCTTTAACTACTCATAAGTAGTATGTTGCTTTAAAATACACATTTAAGTCTAATAGACTTCACTAAAGATAGACTTTCCCTCCACTGGGTAAATTTATTACTTTTGTTCATGAATTAAGTTTTTCAATAGAAACAAACATTTTTCCCTCTAAAAATGAGTAGTTTCTGTCATGTTCAAGAATCTTCTCATGAAATTGCATAAAACTTGTCTATTTGATTTAATTTAGAAATATCATTCTGAATTTAAACAGTTTCGTTATTTTATGTAAGTTTCTTCTGAAATGTTGTATCATGATCATACTGATGAAGTCAAATAGAAAAAAGAACTTTAAAATAGAAACAATTTGATGAAAGCCGACATCCTTGTAAATAGAACCTGTGATTATGGTCACAGATTTTATTGAATATCAATTCCAAATATGTAAGTAGATTATACGATAGTAGTTTCAAGGATTTGTGGAGATTCTAGTATTTTTACAGCTGACATCACGAAGTGACGTCAACTAGACACCACGATTTAAACATGGGAACACAAGACCGCCATGTGGTCCTAGTCAGGGACTCCTCAGCTGTAGCCATCCACGACCTTGAACGTGGGGATCAAATCCAGGAACCTCCGTCTCAGTGGTGATCGGTTCATGATTTCATTGGAACTCAACAATTTCCACAGTCCTTTACTCACTGTTGTCTATGTATTTATCCTCCACAGGAAATGAATAAAGGGTGGTTCAGGATCATGGATTGATCAGAGTTAGACATTAACACTATTGGATGCCGGTTCAGTGGTCTAGAGGTTAAGTGTTTACGCGCGAAACCGAAAGTGCTGGATTCGATTCATGGTTGTGGGGGTAGTGGGTGCGCACTGCTGAGGAGTCACATACCGGAGTGAAATGTTCATACTGTGTTTCTAAGTTACATAATAATCAATAATTAGTTTAGGTTATAAAATATATCATATTAAAAGTGATAAACTGAACAAAAAGAACAGTCGACTCAGTATGAATAAGCACAAAATTGATTTAATCCAATATAACCGGACGGATAGAAAATGTATCGAATTGTAAAACAACAGTCTGTATACGACTAACCTGTGATAATACAAAGAAGAAAATTGTTCAATAGAAAAACAAAACTAGTCACTAATAAGTAACACGGAACTATCATATCGGTTCAATAATTTCTTACTAAAAGTTTTACATTTTTCTAATTTTATTTTGTGATCTCATTCTCCTTACTTTACTATTCAACTTTATATCCATCTATACAACAATTATATGTATAGAAGAATATACTGGTCAACATAGTGAACCAGAAGTTGATGCTCATTTAAACATTGGATCAATGATAAATCGTCAAATAAATGAACAACAAAATTTAATGAATAAATTACAAACTGATTCTAATCATCATCACCATCATCATCAACCACCACCACCACAACAACAACAACATTATAATCCGTTTTATCTACCATCAAAATCATCTGTAAAGAATTCATATGCTCAATCATCAGAATCACAATCTCAATTAAATAAATTACTATTACATCAACAACAAGCCAACTCATCCATTCAAAATAATAATAATAATAACAAGCCTAATTCTTTACAATTATTCACTTCACCTGAAATAATTCATAGAAGTGTTAATAATATGACAAACAACAGATCTGTGTATGACTCAAGTCTTCAAATGATGGATAATAATAATAATAATACTCATAATAATATACAAGGTGAGTTAGTCACCTTTAAATTGGTAATAGTTGTTGTATAAGAATTAATTTAACTAATGCACTGATGTGTTAAGCTTCTGTTGGGGGGGGACTCATAATGTTCTTCCAAATAAAGTTCAAAGGGTTCTTGAAAACGTTGTGAAGCATTTTATCCAATCAGCATTGAATAGAAGTTTCCCAGAAACATTTAGAAAGTGAAGAGTCAAGTGTCATATTTCTGATTGGATGATTACTTACCCTGCTACTATGTTTGGTGGAAGGGTTCCAGAAGCCCAAGGTCGTCTGAAATGCTATAAATACCCTAAATTTTCTGTATATAAACTAACCTTGGAATAAAGCGTTCTTCGGATATTTCGTTCCTTTTCTATCGTGTTCAAGTTGTCGTGCAGATTTACCTGGAGTTATTAGAAGAGCTTAGGAAACCGATTCAAGAGTTCAATCAGAAGGTTTATCAGCTTCAAGATACTGGATTATTGGGTGTGAACTGTTCTTTTTGTTGGTGTATACTGAGAGACCAATGGATTGAGGAAATTGTAAGATTGTCAGAGAATTTTTAATTGTATGACATTCAGGTCAACTGAATGTACATCTAACTTATTAACCTATAATGAAAGAGTTCAATTAGTTGAAAGATTATATATCAACTAACAAAGATAGTCGATGTGAATATGGAAATAAATGTCAGTCAGTCATCTACAACGTAGGACCAGGCACATATATGCAGCGGTCTAAGTTGCCATACCTCATTTACACAACAAGATGAACATCGGATCCATAGAAGTAGTAAATTCAGTGCTGGTAATATATAAAACAAAGATTGTGTATAAGGATACAGTACAGGAAGAAAGAATTAGTTCGTAGAAAGAAAGATGTGAAGTGATTTTAATCTCTTAGTTTAAAAGAAGACAGAGTGTGTATACACCTACGCCATTGTGATCGATTCTGAGCCATGTCACCCAGAGTCTCCAACCATTGGTTACGATAGTCACGCAGACTCCAACCAAGTAGTCTGCATCTCCCAACATGACTCAAACCAGAAGTTAGTGACTTCAAGGACTGTTTTAGTTTGGTCACCTCTAACTTTCTTCCATCCTTCTCCAACACTAGTCAGCATTGCGTGTCGTGGTAATCGATGCTCAGGCATATGTAACACATGGTCCAACCATCTCAGTCGGTGAAGATTTACAACCTCATCAACTTATTTGCCATTCTTCCCTAATACCCTGAGTCTAACCTTATTATTACTTACCCGATGATCACAGTGGATGCGAGCAGTATTTCCAAGCCGTCCACAAAAATAAATGTAGACAAAGAAAGAAATAAAACTAACGATGGCAGTTAATCACAAAAAACTATCTTAATCAGAATGACTTGATACTTGTACTATAATTAGAGAACTCATTTCTCCATAAACTAGACGATAACGTTATTGTATAAGATGATATTTTTACAATTAAATTGTTCAGTGCAAAGAATGCAGTTTTTCTCACTTTCATACAAATAATTCGTTTTTTTTCGATTGGAATGATGAAAGAGCAACATTTAAATATCAGTATGGGGTTGTGGAGATTATTAAGTTTTTGATTGAGATCACCAACCGATTGGAGCTAATCTGTATCGGGTAGAGATAAGTATCTACTTCAGTACAATGGAAGATGGTCGCGCGATTTCGTGGATTGGTTGACGTTACACATTAACACCATTAGATGCCGGCGCAGTGGTCTAAAGGTCAGGCGTTCGCGCGCGAGACCGAAGGTCCTGGGTTCGAATTCCGCCAGTGAGAACGTGGATGAGCACTACTGAGGAGTCCCACAATAGGATGGAACGGCCGTCCAGTGCTCCCAGGTTTCCAATGGTAGTCTAACATCAATCGGTTCATGATCTCAATCGGAAAAATATTTGAATAGTTTGAATTTATTAAATGAATGTTTTTCAACTGTTTACCAGTTCGATTATATTGAAAAATGACGCTGACTGTGACTACATTGAAGTGATAAAGATTATTTATGATTCTGTCTTCTTATTGCTCTCTCTGTCTCTCTCTCTTTCTCTTGGTAATATATAATGATAAAAATTTAGGAGGATTTGAATAGGTTTCAGGAATTGAACGAATGAATGAATAAAGGAATAAATAATTCATTATGTACTAAGGAACTGCTTAGTAATTATACACCTAAGACTTTTAGGTCTAACGGAAAATACCTAATCGTTAGAATCACTTAGTCAGCAATCAATTAATTTGTGATATTGCTCAATGATTACCCATCGGCATTGTTGAAAACTTGTTTCACTGACAATATATTTGAACTCCACCAGTTATTTCTTCTCACTAAAACTTCAAGAACATCTTGAAGTAAATCATATTAGTGAACTAACTATTATCGTTTATTTTAACAGTTGAATTCACTAGTTAATCTGAGCTAAACCACTATTGAAAACCTGGGTGCATTGGACTGCCGTTTCGTCCTAGTTCGGGACTCTTCATCGGTGCGCATTCACGATCCCGTACTACAATCTCCAAAAAACCCCATACTGATATTATAATTTAGTTGAAGAGGTTTTGTGAATTATATTCCTTTGTAGTAGGTTAGGCACTATCTGGGGGATATTTGAATTACAGGGTCTTTCAGATGTATTCAGAAAGTTGAATGCAGTTATACAAAACTCAATTAATGTAGTTAATCAACTTTTAGTGACCAAATCCTATTTATTTCAAATAAATAAGTAGTTTAATGAGATGATTGCACAGTACAACAAATAGAAAACAATTGATTGTTTATCCGTTAAGTAATGATCATCTATTAGAGACTTGACGGACCGTCATGAGTTCATTCCTCTTTTGTGTTAAGTTATGGGGATCTATTTGTGATAAATCCTAAAACAGGATAAAACATTTATCCATTCTTCGCCTTTGCTTTTTTTTTATTAATTGTCTATCTGAATTTACAGGTTTGAACCATGTACAAATTTAGATTAGTTGAAGCAATCGGTTGCTAGTACCATATTATCTCTGAGATAAACAATCTAAACGAAAGTCAAGTACATAGACATTATGCTCAATAAACCAATTACAGTTTTTTTTAATGATTATTATTAATTTCGATAATGATATTAGAAGACGAAGATTATCAGAACTATGTGATATATTAGCGCAATACATTTCGAACAATCTTGTCACACATATACTTGTTAAGAGCATTTATATATAAAAAATAAAAGGTCAACTAGACAGGAAACGGGGTAAGAGGAGATAAGGATAATGATAAGAGTAATAATAATAATAATAATGTGAACACAAAGCGAAACCTAATCACTCTGGATAATAAATCAATATTACCAGGGTAGGTTTAAGGTAAGAACAAACTGTTTTTGAACACACAAAGGGGGTTTGAATTTTCGTATGGCTAAGGCTTCAATAAACCTTAATATACGCCCTTTTACACTTTTATACAGCACTACAAAAGCTGAATTTAGATCAATCTTGTGACATGTTTCAATTATATGTTTAGCAATAGAGGATGATAGATATTTATCCTCTGCTCTTATTGGGTCACTTGATTGTATTTGTTTCTGAAGCCATTTGGGTACATGTTCACTCACCCTAATGTTGAGGTCACGATTACTCCTCCCTATGTATGTGTGACCACACACACATTTAAATTGGTAAACACAGTGGGATGTGACGCAATCGTTTCCATGTACTTTAGGTTTTGAATGAAGCATGCACCTTGTTCTTTCTTTGATGATGACCTTTGCTGCGTAATAGGTTTTATTGATGACTGATTTAAGTCGTTGTTTCAATAAAAGGCTATTTGAATTATTATTAACTCTAATATTCATTAATTGATTTGTATATAGGTAACTTGGAGTTATACTATCAACATCCATATGAAGATGTTGCTACAGATGATTATGCTGAAACTAATAGTCAATTAAATTGTACATCTCTACCACAAAATCAATCTTTTAACCAATCACTTTTATCTCACTATCCACAAAAACAGTTTCAATCGTATTTATCACCAACTGAACCATCACTACCACCATTACCACCAACATTAACACCTACACAACAACATATATATCATCAACATGATGGTTGTGGTCCATTATTATTACCACCAATATCTACTAGTTCTCTGTTGTACAATAATGAAGTGAACAATCGATTCGGTTATTCAAGAACGGCAACATTGGATGAAGATGATAAATTAAGTTTAGATGAAGACAGTGAAATGATGCACTTTACAAATTCACAAACGAATAATAATAATTCGGTTAATATTACTATGACGACAACAACAATGACTACTATTACTACCACTGCTACTAATATTAGTAATGATGGTAATAATAATAATACTCACTTGAGTAGTATGTTTAATCCATATACTGTTGCGTTTATCAATAATAGTCCATCAAATTATATTCAATCGAATCCATCACACCATACTACTTTATCACATTTTAATCCATCATATTCTGTTTGGAATACTAATGATTCAGTTCATCATCGTATGACTAATAACATTAACAACAAATATAGAATAAATGATAATCCGTCAATCATTTATCCTAGTGATCAAATGGTACGTTTTTTACTGTGTTGAGTAACAGTTATATAGTTGTAGTGTTGTCTGGGATTGGTTGTCCTAGTTGTTTGGAATGTGTTTCTCTCTTTCTCTGTCTAGTTGCAAAATATTGCTTCATGACTATGTCTGCGTCAGCTTCTAAACGAATGACGGAGGAGTGAAATAGTTGAGAGAGTCACTTATCTCAGAAGTTCAACCAACCTCGGTGAGGTTGGTGTGTGATGAAATCTCAGCATGAATTCAGAAAATTTGCCTAATATTTGCCAACTTGCCTTATTTATTGATGGCTCAGATTAGATGTTCATTTGGTAACCACAGGACAAGTTTACTGAGCAGCATTTTGCTCTATTCTACGTTATAACTATTAAACATGGCCTTTAAAACTAAATGATATTCGTAGGTCGCAAATAAATGTCCTTTTAGATTAAGGCATAGGATACTAGGGAAAGATCTCAAATTAGGTGGCGAATTCCTGGATCTTCATCAGTTGAATTGGTCAAGACATGTGTTACGTATGACCAACACCAGGTGGTGTTAATTGGTGTAGGAGAAGTGGTTGAACGAAAACTAGGGTTGACCAGAACAAGACATGGTAACAGTCCTTGAAATCATTTAACGTTGATTTTAATCATGTTGATATAGGTTCAGACTGCCTAGTTGGGGTCAGCTCGATAAACCTCAATTCAGTGGTTGGGGACGTTGGTTGACATGGGTTTAAGGTTGTATGCCGATGATGAAGTAGAGGAGAGAAGGAATTGGAGTTAGGGTTTTCATCACGTACGTGCATCAGCTGTACTACAAGAATTTCCTATTGTAGCCAATGTAGATGAATGAATTTCGCACAAAAATCGAACAATCTATATTTTAGATCATTCATGCATATCTGCTGTCTTCTAATCGGGCGAATACATCAAAAAATTATTAATCCTTTAATAAGTTGATCGTGATCGCCCCTTTTTTTCATCATTACCATTCCCTCTTCTCTAATCATATTTCTAACATTCAGTTTTTCTCATTACCATCGCTACTACAATTACTTTTACTCTTTTTCTATTCATGTCGTCATGCTAAGGTGCTGATAAGGTAAATTAGACCGACGTATCAGCCTTTGCAGTGAATATTAATGACTATCATTCAAAAAAATCTAATTGTTAAGTGACTTTTTGGGGAAAGTTATTGATTGATTCCCAATTTTTTTCCACTGTTTATTTTACTTAAAATAGAATAGTGCCAAAGATGGTGTTGTTGGTATTACAGGTTCCAGTGGAATTACACATCCTCTATTAAATGATATTGATGATGTAGGCAGTGATTTTAGTCTGTCTGCTTTTCGTCGTAGTGATGATATTTGTGGCCCTTCATCGTTGTCAAATCGAATATTCAATAATAACAATGGTAATAATAATGATCTCATCATGAATAATCTCCTACCATCATCACAAACCACACAATTACAACATAATAATTATCAACAACAATCTACGGAACATCATAGTTCTAGTGATATTGCTGGCATGATGGATGTTCGTAGTAATGATGGAACATGTGATGAATCAGATGCTAGTTCACTACCGGAACAAGGCTGTGATTTAATGCATTTAGCTCAATTACGTATATCAGCTAGACCGAATCCACTATTAAACGATTTAGCAAAACAACAGGTAATCTTTTCTAAAGTGGGAAACCTTTTTTTCTTTGTCTCTGTTTAGTTTAATCGATCAAACATGTACACATATGTGTTCCGATTATGGAAGGGGGTGTTACCTTAAACTAGCCGTGTAGTTTTGAAAATTATATCGTGGATTGGCGCTACTTAGAGAATCATTTAAGATCGGGAAACGTTGGATAGCTATTTCATTTTAGTATGGGACTCCTCGGTAATGGATATCCACAACCTCACAGGGAGTCAAGCGTTCATGTCCCGTAGAAAGCATTTGATTTTAAACGATTGAATTCTAACTCAGTGACGTAAGGGTCAAGTGCTCACCTCGAGGTCTGACGATGGTCTTTGGTTCGATCCCCGATGGGATCTCGGATCAACATTACCATTTTGACTTAATATTTGTTGTTAGGTGGTCAACAGAAAAACTTGAGTCCTACGGCACATTGGACAGCTCAGTAATAACGTCCCAAACTGTGGAGCCAAGTGATGCGGGTTTACATCCATCAAATAGCGTCAGTTATATCGAATTTACAATTACACAGGTTTCCCAATCGACTGCCTCTAACTAAGGTACACTTGATGTCAAGTTACTTTGACTATTAGTTACCATATCACAGATTAACCGAAAGAATTCGATTAGCATGAAGTTGTACTAAACAATAATGATATTTATCACCTACTACTTAGTAATCAATTAATTGTAATGAGTATCGACTTTTTCATTGATTTTATTTTAAAACAGGTACAAAGAAACAACAAGTAGACAGTAATACTCTCTGTCTCTCTCTATCTGCGTATGTATCTATGATTTTTCAGCATAATTCGTTTGACAACAATAATGCAACAATAGCGACTACCACTACTACCAACATCAATGATCGTTTCTTAATACAAATCATGATCTTTTCGAAATTTAATTTAGGTAGGAGCTGAATAAAAGTGAATACTCTTTTTTACTTCCATACACCAACTTGTGCATTATACCCATGATCTCTCTCTTCCTCTAGTAGGTAATAAAATGGTGCTCTTTTTTGTTCTATGTGCGATGTTGTTATTTTGTCTGTGACCGCATTTGAATCTTCCTTTTTTTGCCTTATAACATTGTAACTATGGTTGTTTATATCCATATACAAATACAGAATTATTATTATTATTAGGGATTATTAATTTCTATATTTATAATGAGTTTCTATGTGTATTTCGATAGTTGGTTTCTCATTTGTTTTTTTTTGTACAGTTTTTTTTATACGTAATTTTCCCACTTTTTTTTATACATAAAAAATGTTTCTTTTCAACCAGTTTATATATTTTCATTTATATACATATAAATCTATTAACTTATTATTAGCTGATGATGATGATGATGATGATGATAGGCGATAATTCTCTCCATTAGCCTTAATTATCAGTTTCTATATTGAAGATTCATTTATTTTCTTTCTATCTAGTCTTGTTGTTCGTTTTTTCCTTGTTTCACTGGAGGTTTCTTTTTTGTTACTCAATTCTTTTAAATAAGAAACTGAATTGCTTCAATTATTGACCATTGAATAATGATAACAGCATAAACGGTTCATGTGTGTGTGCGTACGTACATGAGCTCACTTACTCACTTGTTCGTTCCTTTCAAACATTAAAACAGACACTGGAATCGAAGAAGAAGGAGAGAAAAAGAAAAGCGAACTACAAGTAGCAATACTGCTTTTTTTTAATGCCCTTTATTATTTCAATTATCCAGTTGGAGTTTGTTTTTGTCTTTTTCTTCTTAGACAAAACAATTCAACATTGAATTGTATTTAAACCTTAATCATCAATATTCTCCTTCATTGAAACATTTTTAAACTTGTTCAATTTTTTATGATTGTTAGAGAATCATTTATAAAAAGAGAATTTGTATTTTATTTCAATAATGAAATGTGAAATTAATGAGTGCGGGGGGAAGGAGTAAGGGTGTCCCCCTTTTTTTTTAATACCTTGGGACACTCGATCAATTTTCATTATAAGTAAAGAATCAGTATCGATTATTATTGTCACTATGTTTTTGTCTATGTAAATGAATAAAATACATTTCAATTGTGCATTTGATCGATGTATTTATTCTTTATTATTATTATGATGATGATGATCATCATCTTAATTCTTAGCCTTTTTATTTGTTTTTATGAATCATTTTATTGTTTGTATTATACACGATTGTTTTGTCACCTTCTTTTTTTTTTCTTGAAATTTTAATGATTTAAGAACAGTTTTATTGTTCATTTAATGAAAATCAATGAATGAATGAAAAGAGGGTTCTTTTTCCTTTATGTAAACACCTTTCTACACAATTTCTCTTTATATATATATTTACATACAATAAATGAATATACTATTATTTGATAGTTGAGAGAGTTATATTCATTTATGTCATATTCCGTGTTTTTGTTATCGCAAGTTGTTACACTCTGTGGTGCAAAATCATCTACAGATCAACAAAAGTATAAATTCACTGATATATATATATGCATCCAATGATATATTTAACCAGTAATATAAGCAGAAATAGATGGTGGCTAGTAGTAGAGTCCAGTGTCAGTTGGATGTACTTGCCATATGCCAAGATTGATGCTTACCAAGTACCGTTCGCTTTAAATATCGCGTCATCTACTTAGCTACTGAGTTAAAATAGCCACTGGCGACCTGTTACGTATACCTGAACACTGATTATCATGACGCGCAATACTGACTACTGTTGAGGATGGTTAGAAGAAAATTAGGGGCAGCCAAACCAAAACGTGGCATCAGTGCTTGAAGTCACTAACTTCTAGTCTGAGCCATGTTGATAGATGCAGACTACTTGATTGAGGTCCGTGTGACTATCGTAACCAATGGTTGGAGACTCTTGGTGACATGGCTCAGAATCGATCACAATGGCGTAGGTGTATACACTCTCTGTTTTCCCTTGAACCATGAGATTAGGATCGCTTCATATCTTTCTTTCTCCCAGTACTATATCCTTATATGGAATCTGTTGGGATATTCAGGAAAATATCCCAAGAATTATCCTGTTAAGCCTAATGTTATCCTTGGACATGAAATGGTATCATCTTATTGGTGAATATTTGTTTAACGTGTCATTTTCCTACTGGCCATTATTGTACAATGTTATTTTCTATTTTATGGGACGTTGTGGTCTGCTTGACTGGTATATAAACAAAGTATGTTTGAAATACAATGATTCATATCTCCGAGGCTGTCATTTGTGTTCTGGACTCAACTGGCTGGGTTAGATAGGGAAGCGAGACCAATCAGAACCCTAGGTCGTTCTACGTGTTTGTGCGTCTTTGGTCCGATCAATAATTCGCTACCCTTAATCAGCAGCATCATTTTCACGTTATAACAGAATCTTTCTTTTATATATTACCACAACTGAATTAACTACTATGAATTTGGTGTTCATCATGTTGTGTTAATGAGGTATGGCAACTTGTGCTTGGTCCTACGTTGTAGCTGACTGACTGGCTTGTGTAATGAGGTGAAGCTTAATTCATTTGTATTGGTTGTTTTCATCTCCCCATTGGTGTTTAGATCTGAAATTAGTCTTTTTTTGGCATATATATATATACATCCTGTACGGGTTGCTTCGATATGGTCATATCACAAGCATTTCTTAGCAGAGATAGATGGTGGCTAGTGGTGTAATTAACTAATAAATGCACATAGGGAAAGGGTGAACATGTGTATTAAGCTGTTCAATAACGAAATATTTAGCTACAAGTATAGGAACGACAAATCGTCAGCCAGTTCTTGGCTGATCAAAATTAAAAAAACACCTTTTGTAAATGGATAGTTCATGAGAAAGAAAACAAATAATATTACAAAGTGTAAACAGATCTTATACAACTAACAATTTTATCACTGTCTCCCACAGGTTAACATGCCTGTAAATTTGAAACACAACGACATATAAATTCGTCATTATGAAGATCCTATTTCAAGCCCTTAAAAAGACCTAAATAGATTTTCCGAATTTCCCAAATTCTTCTTGGCTAAGGAATCAATTTTAGAATTTAAGATTAGAAGTTAGGGCCCTAATGTACAAATACTTGGTAGCCATAGAGTTTGAAAGTTTACGGTTAAGATTAGGAAATTAGAATTAAGATCGGTATTATGATATTGTGGTCAAGATTTAGGATTATTCGCTGGATATGTACATCCTACATACAAAGACTCGAGCGTTTAATACGATCACTTCATAAAAATCGTAATTTCTGATTTTTTCATTTTTAACCCTCTCAGCGCTATACAGAAGTGCTTGTACAACTTATCTTGCGCGAAATAAGATAAATCACTTATCTCCAACTTTAGCTCAAACGCTTGACAGTTGTTTTCTCGACTCTGATTGACTTGACGTTGTGCTATTGTTTTGTTGATTATTAACTTGTTCATTGGTGTGTTTATTGTTGTATTCATGTCAAGGATGTTTTAGAACATTGTAGAGCCGCGATTTTATGATTGAATCGTGTTCATCATTCATAAAACACCACCCCATCCACTTCGGTCGGAATAGTGGTGGATAATATCACTAGCCTCGTGCTGTTTGGCACTCGAACGAACATCATAGTAATTAGGCTAATCTTCACATTGCGACTTGGTCGATAGAACTAGACCAGTAATGAAAGATTGGACATTGGTCCCTACTCAATGATCAATCGGTCGTAAATGCCACGCTTATACAAAAGTTCGGTAGAAATTGTGGACTTATATTACGAATCTTTTTAGACTGTAAACTTTTGGAGACGTCATGGGTGGTTACCAGGATTAGGCAACCTCGTTGACTTTGATATACATGTTACGCAGGAGGATTTTATTATTCGTCATGAAGAACTCCGAGGAATTGTTAAATGAGTACAGTGCTGATCAATAAGTGAGATCCATTGATACAATATGACTGAGTGATCCTTGCTCATTATACCAAATTATTGGCAAAAATAAATAAATAATGCAATATTATATGACAAGACTATTAGCCAGAAGAATAGGTTTCTTGTCTAATAAAATAAAACGCTCAAACGCGATATTATTATAATATAAATGTGATAAATTGACATAGACGGTTGCAGGACACCAGTTATTTTAGATTACTCACACTCCAATGAATTAAGAACTGAGTGCTATTTCGCCTAACTTCTCCATTTCACTTCAATTAACTCTCACTTATTGTGACGTACTAACCACATTGAAGTTGGTCAAGCCCTTTGAGGTAAAGCCTGTTGGTTTTTCTGATAGATGAAAACCAGACTATAAGGCAAACATATCCGCTACAAGTATGTTTTTAAGGAAAATCGTGGTGCTTGGGTCAAGTATACGTTGCATGCATACCAGTAACACATGTTTCCACTTATGCATCACTTGGCATACACATAGGTACACGCGTTACTTGGGTGGGAGAATGATCACCACTCCCTTCACTTGTATATACTACTCACTATTTTTATTTTACAGACCTGTTTTTTGTTCTGATTAGGCCGATTTTTTGCCGTAAGGCAGACTATTTTTCTGGATCGTTGCGTACACCTACATACCACAATGGTACAGGTCGAGACTTACAGCTATATATATATATATATACAAATATAAAGGACAGTCGTAAATGATTTTTGTTACCTTGATGAATGGCCACCGAAGTTACAGCATATGGAGTGGTTGACTAATCCGATATCCTCCGAACGCGCAAGTTAGGTCGTGAGGTTACCCTCACTACCCAGCAGGATCACAAGGAGGCTT